TTGCGAATTGACGAGGTAGGTCCCTTACTGCCCTTGATCATAATACGCCAATCCCATTGGCTCTACTCCCTCAAACATTCGTTCACACTGCTTGTATGCGCGTGCCCTTTTCCATGCGCATCCTTCTCCTTCGGTATAAACGCATGATCCGAAATAATACGCACATGTGTTGAGCGATGGTACCCATTGGCACTGCGTGGTTATATTATGATCTGTTTGAGTTGCGTTTGTAGCAGATTCAATTGACTTCTTGTTCTTGTTCTTTTTATTTTTCTTGTTCTTTTTCTTCTTGTTTTTTCGGTGGTTGCATTCTTTGCTGCTTTCACATTCGTAAACCTAAATTGAAGCAGAAATAGATAGATGAGTGAAACGAAAGTGGAATACACTTTTTACACAGCTGGTTATCGTATTTAATAAGCCTATGAACGATCCTTCATAAAGTACGGTATGGGATGGAACATTCCAAGAAATTGTGCTTGCCTTCGATCATAATCCGTATTTACTCGTTCTCTCAGTTATCATATTGTACACATTTAATTGAGATGATCAAATCAAATTGATTTGCAGGTGGTGACAATATTGAATTAATTCCATTTCTCAGTTATTATCCGGTAAGACCACCCTGGCATGATTAGCCAAGGAGTAAGTGGGTAACTTTTTGGAGAGCATACGACATTTCACAAGTTTTGAGACCTGGTACCGTGCGGTACATACATTTAACGATATAATTCGTTAATGTTATATGAATTGAATGAATTATTGAATTAAATAAATTTCATGAATTGGCACTTATTTTGTGCATAAACTTTCTGTAAGGCCAACTCAGACAGCGTCGTACGACAGAGCCCGACGCGATTCATGCGTCGGAGAACACTCTTAAGCGTCGTGAGAAATTAAACATGTTTAATATTCTACGACGCGACTGTCCGACGCAGACCATCGCCGGATGGATGTATAGATGGATAGATTTGGTCGATTGATCAATCGCGCTTAATTACGATTGAATTAATGATTGGTTGCATGGGCGCAGATCATGGGGATGGAGGACATCCCCCCCCCCCCCACGTATTTTCGGGGGTTTGTCCCCCACGTATTTTCGGGGGTTTGTCCCCCACTTTTCGGCGGAAATGTGATTTCATAAGTCAAAAATAACCTTGAAAATTGTTGAAATGAACTGCATAAATGACCCATGTTTTAACGAAAGAGCCCTGTACAGCAAGAATACATCTTTTTTTTATCACAAGATACCAGTATCTCTGCCCACAAATACCTGAATTACCTACACGACTTGAGTGTGCGTGCCTTTAATATTATAATTTAAGAATTATGGAAAAAAGCTTGGTGTAAAGATAAGATTGGTTGTCGGTACATGAAGTAGGTAAAGTAAAGTAAATATATCAGACAATTAAGTTTTATTTCCTATGGTGCATCACATAGATTAATTAGATCTCTATTATTATATTGCCGAAAATCCCGAATAAAAGATCATGAGAAATTTGTTGACGCTTCATTTTGACTATAAGGGTGATGTGATATGTGATGATGATGAATTTTACTATGTAAGAGTGTCATTTCCGGTCATCTAGAGACTACTATTTCCTCAAATGTTCGCACCTCAGCCCCCAGCATGGTGGGGCTGAGGCGGTGTGGTCTCACACAACTCCCCATTGTGTCAGAGCATTAATTGGTAGCTGAATTGCTAAATCAATCGATATACCATCTTTCGATGGATGTGCAGCAGACTTACCTTACAATTACAATTACTTTCGTAAATTCCTTTTAATCCTCTGAATTGTTGCCGGGTCATCTCTGGATATTTTACCACCCAATGTTCATTAAGAACGTTGAGGCGACCTTCAAACATCTTAGATCGAATTAGGTTGCCATACTTGGAATCTGGAACGCTATCGCTGTCGATGTGACCTTTACACAACGGGATTAATAATATATACATTGTTATGGTTAAATTATACATAATTACATGTGTCAGTTTTGCAAAAGTTTTGTGTTGTTTTTAAATTACTACATAAAAGTAGTAAAGTGGTACCGTAGTTTGTAGGCCTAGCACCATACTGTTGGACGGATCAAGGTAGGCAAGTGTGGCAAGGGGTACACTCCTCCCCGATTTGCCGAATCCCAATTTGCCGAATGCCAGATTTCGGGTTTCTAGTGTCGAAACTCGGCTGAATGTCAGATTTCCGATTCCAGGACAGTCAGGAATGATTGGCATTCGGCAGAAGGATTCAGGATCATTGTGTTCAGCGAACTGGGTTCGGCGGATTGAGTCGGCAATTTGGCATTCGGTAAACTGGGAAATAAAGCCATGATGTATTATCGGGCCTATGATGCAAGGAGGTATTTTTATACCTCCTTGTATGATGTATTGTTTAGAAGGATCGAGAGCTTAATTTCAGTCGTAGGCTACTACCTCCACGATTATAGAATATAAACAAATAATTAATATCAAAATCACTGTACGTTAATCACTGTGTTTATATAACTACTTTTATACTTGACTTATAGTATTTTGGAAGTTGGAATTTGACGGGCACACCATTTCCGGTGATAGTAGTTTTCGAACAACTTCTGTCCTTCCTCAGTCTCTTGTCTTTGCCTATGTTTGTGTGTTGCTTGTACTATTTATGTTGGAAGGAATAAAATAAACGAATAAAATGACGACGAAAACGACAATAATCCCCGTCTAGGATAAGATATACTTACCCGATAAGACGTAGATACTATTTTCGTCGAAAACATAGTCAGTAGAGAATATTTCAACAAGTTTGGAAGTCGAGAGCAAGTCATTTCCTTTGTAGATATATATGATGCGTGCCAAGTGAACCGAGGGACCACTTTTGCCATATTTGTCAAATTTAGAAAAAATACGATCTAGCAGTTTAGCCCCACTCTCTTTTCTTACGTTTCCATCCTCATCTTCTTCCTCCGTGGTCACTATGGAGCTCAGTAAGGGATCTTCTTCAATCGTTTCCTGCTCATCAATTGTTTCCTCTATGTTAATACCAAGTTCTTGTAGATTATCAAGGAACTTTCGGATATATTTTTTGCTTAACGGACATGATTTTGCTCGAGAATCTAAAAAGGAGTTTCCAGATTCATCTAATTTTGACCACATGTCGTCTGCTGTAGTGGGCGTGTCCATTTCAATGCAGTGCCTAAGGATGTAGTCATACAGCGCTGTAGTTTTCAGTATTTTTGCTCGTATTACTAGAAACGAAAGACAAGGAAAACAAATATAATACAATATAGTAATAGTCCCTGATGATGACAACGATGATGATGATGATGATGATGATGATGATGATGATGATGATGATTATCATGATGATGATTAAGATGATGATGATAATAATGGTGATAACAGTAATTGATTGATGATGATGATGACAATGATATTAATATTAATTTATGTATGATAATAATAATAATAATAATAATAATACAAAAACAACAATAATAAATAGGCCTGCTATTGCTAACTTTACGGTCATCATAATTACATGATTGAAATAAATTAATGAACAATGTTTGGAAAGTAATATCAGTTGTTTATCCGTGTGTTGTTTGTCCAAATAGTACAACTGCCTTGAGCTACTCGATTATAAAAACAATTACAAACGTCTACGAAGTCTCTGGGGTGTTGTTCGACGCGTTAAACGCGTTTGACATTATGTTGAGCAGTGTCGGCAAGAACGTACCTCTGGGCGTACTGTGAAAGCCGAACGAAAGTTGAAACTTATAATCTGGGGAATAACGTGAGAACTCAAGAAAGTGATTACCTTGGCAAGGTGTGCACCTTGATGACAAGAATCGGGGGACTCTTGACACTTGCCTTTAATTCAGTCGCTTGATTCAGAACCAAAATGGCAAAACCGTGTGTATTTGATCAATAAAACGCAATTGCTATCACATCGTACATGATTTAACTAGGGAGATTTTATATGATTAATCTAAACCAACGTCGATATTGTCACAACACCCAACGCAACTTATAGCGTCGTTCTCATGAATCATGATCGTTTACCAATACTATAACACCATCCCATACCCACTATACGTCTACTCTACTTTATTTTTAACTTGTCATTTGTTAATGTCAGTTTTATATAAAAGTCGTCATAATCATAACCATATTAAATAGGCCTACAGCAAATCAAAGTCGTATTATATCGTGTGTATTCGTCATAGAGATCCCTTCATCAAATTAAGGGCACTGTTACGGGTAACACAATTACACATTTGTATTATATAAGGAGTAATAATCAGCATTGCTTCTCTCCACCCAGGAGTATGTTACCTGAGGTTTTAAATACCAAAATGCGCTGATGTAGCTGCTGGCTGCATCGTTATGGAATAGTCCTCCAGGGAGCTTGAGTTTGTGTTCCATAGGGGTAATCCAATGACCGGGGTAATGATAATGTAAACCGCATAGAGGGCTTAACAATATTCGGTATGTAATAAGTCTACCATTATTATTATTATTGATAATAATAATAATAATAATAATAATAATAATAATAATATTAATATTAAATAATAATAATAATAATATTGATAATAATAATAATAATAATAATAATAATAATAATAATAAGAATAATAATAATAATAATAATAATAATAATAATAATAATAATAATAATAATAATAATAATAATAATAATAATAATAATAATAAAATAATAGGATTAGGCCTAATAATTATAATATATAAATAAACTTTGTATCTCTTGATACAAAGAATCAATCAATCAATTGAATCAATCACTTGTATGGAAAATTGTAGGAATATAAAGCATTATTATTGATTTACCTGCCTAAATGATATCTTTCTTTGGGAATCTAGAGTTACGTTGCGGATGCAAACCTGTTAACGATAGGGGAAAGGACAAATTCATTTGCACCAATAAATAACTCAAAACCATTACACAAAGGACTGTAAAATTCGAACACTCTCTTTTATCAATTCCCAAGCGATATACGACCCAAGAATACTAGTTGTTCGGTGCAGAACACTCCGACAGTGTGAACAGATACTCTCGTACAGGATATCTAAAACAGACAAGACAGACGTGACGTGTTTACTGTCTGTTGGCAGGGGCAAATAGCAACCCATCGTGTGTCGAAAACTAGCTGTATGGCGTGAAAGGTAATGCCTACGTACGTACACGTCATATTAAGGCCAACTCAGACAGCGTCGGCCGACGCAGCCCGACCCGATTTATCGTCGGGGACAGTCTTAAGCCGTCGTGAGAAATATTAAACATGTTTAATATTCTACGACGCGACTGTCCCCGACGCACACCATCGCGTCTGCGTTTACTCACACAGACCCGACGCGACAATTAATCGCGTCGGGCTGTGTTAAATTATTGTCCTTAGTAAGATAAAACCATTTGTATCTCGATACCTTGATCCATTACAATTTGCCTATAGAAGTTCTAGAAACACGGAAGATGCTATCAAGTATCATACTCAAACTTGAAAAAATATATGCCCATCTTGAAGGCGTTGCAAAATTTGGTCATTCTATAAGATTTACTATAACTTCAGCACCGCGTTCAACACACCAACAACATTTCGATGAAGAAATTGATTGATACGGATCTTCCGTGTTCATTTATTGTTTTTGTATTTAATTTTCTGGTAAACAGCAGTCAGTTTGTTAGAGTAAGGTCAGGAGTTATTTAAAATTTTATTTTTACTAATACTGGTGCACCACAGGGTATAGTCAGGGGCGGATTTAGGGAGGGGGGGGCGGCCCGGCCCCCCCCCCTTTTGGGAGCTAAAAAAAGAAAAAAGAAAAGAAAAAAAGAAAGAAAAAGAAAAAAAATGATAGCCTACAACGCCTCAAATGTTATTTTCGGGCGTCTAGATCCGCCCCTGATAGTGTTAGCTCCCCTCTTTTCACTATATACTGCCGATTACAGAACGACTGATCAAACAAATTGTCTCGAGGCAAGAGTTGATGCTAGGGAAATAGTAATCAAGTTTTCAAGGGTGGAGAGGGTTTCTAGCTACAAGTATCTGGGGTTGTTTTTGATAACTGTCTGTCATGGGGGGAAATATTGATCGTATCATAAAGAAACTCAATTCACGTATGTATTGTTTATGTAAACTACCGTCAGTAGTCAAATTCTGCATATGTTTTATTTATCAGTAATTGGTTCTGTTTGGGGGTATTGCTTATTGGCTTTGGGGTGGGAATGTAAATAAACTTGATAGGGATAGGATAGATAGACTGGTGAGGAGGGCATGGAGGATGGTTGGGTGGGAGCTGCCAGTGGTAGACTCAGTCTACCACGAACGGTTGTGCAAGAAGTTCTGTTCGATATGGGCTGATGTAAGTCACCCCCTTCATTCAGATATTGCCAACTGTTACATTGAACGTATACGGTAGTAGACTGAGGCCACCACGGGTCTCTATAACGCCATCGTCTCTCCTTCTTTCCCAGAGGAATTAGGGACTTCAATAGTAAACATCAGAGTTAGAGGGTTTTTAGTGTGGGTGGCCTGTATTGATTAATAACAAGTTAATACAAATATATCATAACTATTATTATTATTATTATTATTATTATTATTATTATTATTATTAATAGTTTTATTATTACTATATTATTATTATTATCACTGTTAGTAAATAGTCTTATGCTTTTTCACATTGTTGTATCCAGTCATGGTAACGTTCAACATATCTATAGGCCTGCCTGGCTTAGCTAAAAAATGGGGCAAACGATGAATATATTTTTTAAGGCGGTAAATATTGTCACTGTCGGCACTTAAAAGCGGCATAGACTTTCAAAGGCAACGATTCCGTTGAATGGTTGAAGTGTTGGATTTGTCGACAGCTCTCGTAAATAAAATAGGGTTACGATTCGGGGAATGGTAAAGGTGAATGCTATCATTGCTTAAGTTTATTAATTCTATTTCACGCACAACGATAACATTCCAACGAATTAAATGACCTGCTCGTCGGGGGATAGGCACAGGTTATGGTCAGATTGAAACATTGTAAACATAAAACCATTCCAAGGCCCTACATTATAAAGTATAAGCAACATAGTCCTTGTGAATAAGCTTAATCACCATCATATAGGTCCTATTAGACATGACCGGATTTGACTAGACAGTCATTGAATAGAAGACATGAATATATAGTAGGCCTAAATTATGATGGATAAGTCATTCATGGTAAATGACTCGTCAAATTTTACTCTAGCCTACTTAGTGATCCATTTGATAAGGAATTTAAGTCAAGTCATGATGGCTTATAGATATTCCCCGACCTGAAACATATTTGATGCGTAAGCCTGGGAATGGGGAGAGGAAATAGGACACTTAACGAATGACCATGGGCCACAAAAAATCATTATTAAAAAATCTAAGATAGGAAATTCGTTGAATGGATAATAGAGTAAATTTAGATTGTGTTATGAGCCAAAATGCAGACGTAAGCCTATTTAACAACTATTATGAAGAATCAAAGATCTATTCGGCAGCCGGGGAGTAACTGTCAAAGATGTTTTGTGTACGATGATTATGGGATTTGTAACGGGATGTCTTTACGTTCTAGGATTAGGCATTTTCTGTTGTTTTCGATATTTAGTATGTCGTTTGTTCATTTCAATATCAAAATACATGATAATAATACTACTAATAATAATAATACACTAGAACTATTAATTATTGCATTATCATAAAAAAAGATGACAATAGGCCAAATTATGTCAAAGTCAGGTAACGAATAGGCTTAAAAAGAAGCCGTGAATACTACTATGTTACCAGGCATTTCTTCAATAAAACTTTTGTTTACGATTAGTTTGTAAGATTTATACAATTAAGCATACAGAGAAGTCAAGATACCATAACAGACCATTGCTGCGCTGCAAAGGTGACAGAGCGGCGGCAACATTACATTGATTTACACCAACTCAAGTTTCATTCGATAATCTTAGCCTACAAACCACCCACGATAGGTACTGGGTGAAGTACTAGGTGAAATAACATAAGCTCAAAAGAAATAATGTTTAACGTTAAAGACTTGGCATGCTAGGTCTAGCAGACTCAGAGGGGTGCAAATGAAGCTAGTTACAACCCTTCCTCTGAATGACACACGTCACGTCATGGTGAATTAAATTGGCAACCCACTCAAGACCACCAGGGTTGAGTGACGGTGGACAGACCATGGTACGCCAAATACTAATTTAGATCAATCAAAGCAGATAAGAAATAATCAAGATATGGAAACGTGAACTTGATAGCATAGACACGTCTTCGCTATGATACAATGTTTATGAAGCTAACAGGCCTATTACATGGCCCTTATTTTCAATTCAGATATTTCGTCGACGTATATTTGGTGATTTTCGGCCACTGAGCATAGCCTATGATCAGCTAGTGAATATGTTGGGAAAGTGCTCCGACCATTGAGCTGTTCATTCATAAACTGTGACGACTAATTACCAAATGCTATCGGCAATATTCTGACGTGCAAGTCGATCGCCAAATGTGTATAGGGGCGAAAGATTAGTCGACCATGTATTTATTATTGCTGAATGTGACCGGATCAACGTAGGAGATTAAACAGGCTTTGCATTCTTGGGTCAAAGACGCCAATAACAACGCTTTTGAAATATATTGTCGCTAATATTTTCATATCGAATAGAATTTTAAAATCTCAATAAAAATGACCCTTTTGGCGCACCATAAACTCTATTTGTACTTTGCGATTTAAGCGATTCGGTTTTCCGCGGGATGTTGACATTGGATTCATACACCACATGCTTACTGCCGTCCCAGAGAACTTATTTCGCAATGTGAACCGGCAAAACAGCGTGACTGAACTAATACGCTGCACTGGACTCGACAAGCACCGATGCCGTAATAACTTAATTACCGAACGTCTCAGTAACAAACAGTCTGTGGTCTCCTCTAATATTACACTTTTTTATATAAGAACCAGTAAAATATCTCCAGGCTCAGTATTCTTATTTTTTGTTGATTTCAGGCTCAAATTGTTCTTATTTTGTTATTATCACACACTTATCAAAGATATTGTTGTAGGCCTACACCAGTAATACTGTACTATTGAGGGTATTATTTAGTCACACCTATTGCACATAATATACGAATACGATTTTTTAGTCTCTTTTTTTCTTTTTGTTTGAAATGGAACCTCATTTGACATTTTACCTCAGCCTCAATTTGTTCTTTATTTTGCTTTAAGCAATTTAAGCCTCGGTGTTTTTATTAAATGTGTACAGTAATTGCTGGTTTAGGACTAGCCATTTGTTACACAATAATGAATTAGCAACATAAATATTTGAACGAATTTTTATAATAAAACCCATAAATTAGAAACCTTGTATGTTAATTAGAAATCCTATTTATTAATCCTTTATTATGTGGTTTTACTGTCACATGTTATCAAACGTGTTATTATTATAGAGGCATAGATAATGTTTTCTCTTAAAAGAACAACCAGTTCCTAAGCTCATTTTTTCATCGTTTATTCAAAAACATTTCAAGATGAAAAGTAGCTTCAATGAGACTTGATTTACAGAGTATCACACCCACCTCTTTCCTGAAAGTGAAGATTTACTGGATGAGAATTAGTCTAAATAATATTCCGACACGGCCCCGAGTTTGAGAAGATTTTTGGATGGTTTTTTGTACAGTATGTCGAGCGTATAAGACTGTTTCACTGTCGGAAATCCTTTTGCTACTCTTCATTTAATTCAATGAACATTTATTTCCATTTTCACAATTAAAGTAAACAATCTTTTGATACAAGGGGGGAAAGCCTTAAAAGCTCAGAAGCTTGCAGCAGGAAAGCCCCTTAAGTTACATTGGGACATTTAAGAGAGAGAGAAAAAAAGTAAATCAGGGTCAAATAATTGGTCTATGAGAATAAAACTGAGAATATAATCATATTTATGGATATAGATGGTAAAAGTATAATGAAGTGTTAAAATTAATTCACTTCAAAACTATAGCATAAAAGATGGATAACAATAGACAATTAAGTAAATTACTCCCTGAGATTCAGACAAACAAAACTATTTATGATTTCGGTACTGAGCTGGCTAAAAATGGAGCCAAATATAGGGCAACTCTTCCAAATAATATCATTTTATGGGCTCTAAATACCGTATTCATCAAAATATAGTAAATTTGCATATACGGACGATCCTCACATAAGGATATATTTGTTGCGCGTTAAGACGACCCCCTGTTTTTTTTTTTATCGTCTTATATGCGAGAATACAGTACGGTAAAAACATAGGCTATATTATTGTTAATGCCTCTTAAAAATATATTTTGAAATGCAGCTCATGACCTCATATAGTGCTACGGTATCAGTTGGAGGCGATAAAAAAACTGTACATCAAATTCATCAAATTCAAATAAAACATTATTGCATATCAAATTAATGATATCAGCTTTGGAACACTTATACAGACATTTCGTTATAATGAAGAATTAAAGGCACGTTACCGTATTATTTGTACGTTCGTATAACAATCAAGTTTTTTTTTTTCTTTTTTTATTGTTAATTTTAAAGCTAATCATCAAGATCATCTTGTGGACCATTAATTTTCACTGGACTTTCATTAAAATACTTAGCCGTTGAAATCGAAGTTAAGGGCTCAGTGGTAAATGGGATTAAATCGTCGCGAATATTTATAAAGCATGCTTCAACTCTACGACAGGTGGTGGAAAGCACATTCCAGAAATATCATATTTTTGTATTGCTAGACCCTCACATTTTGTCACTCATGATGTGTATACTGTAGTGCTTATTAATTTGTGCTGCTTCGATTATCAGTAACTGTCACATCCGTATTGCTGCCTTGATTATACCTTTTCATTTATTATAGCTACCGTATACTCTCGTATAAGACGAGGCTTAAAATAGCTAACACAATCGAAAAACAGGGGTAGTCTTATACGCACGGCATACATATTTTAGATTTTTAAAATCATGTTCGTCTTATATGCGGATTGTCCGTAACCCGTGAATTTACTACTGTTATGAAGATACTAAATATGTTAGTATGAATGAACGCAATTTACGGGGGAAAATAAGATTTTGATTAACATTTAAAAACTTATAAAATGGTATTATTTGGAAGATTACGGTAGCTTTGCAATTGGCTCCTTAGTATGGAGTGTCAGGACCACCAAAAGCAGAAGAAAGTAGGTTTTAAAACTTTATTACTATAATGAGTGAGATATTTATGCGCCCATTACAAAAAAAAAACAAAAACTATTTATTTATTCCGGAATTTCAATTTGGGCAAAGCTAAAAGATATATACAGTAAGTCATCCAATATTACATTGGGAGTTTGTTAACAACTTCACACATACAGTTATCAATTTATTAATAATAGGGCCAGGGCCTAAACACCGAGGTACGGTACGGCTTGATACAACACGCCTACTCATTTGATATTAATCTATTTGGTATTATTTCACCGTATGGAAAATTATATAAGGAAGAAGTAGGATTTAAAAAGAATTATTATATTTGCGGATATTATGGATGTAACTAGAAAATAGTTACCCGTGTCTGGTATTTTGTGACGTAGGAATGCATCGTGTTAAATTGTATGTAAGACTACAGTAAAATCCACCGGACTGGATCAATTTACAGCGTAGTGGGACCACAAATATTTGTACTAGGGCTTGTCACTAGAATGCATCTTCATTGGCGGCACACAACAATAAAATGTTACTCTGTTGCACTCTGGGGGCATAATGAGTTTTTGATTATCCCTGCAGCCGCAGATATTGATACTTTCGCGCGGCTTGCATTTCTCCCTTCGCCCACCCAACAAAGAATAAGATTTAGTATTTAGACAACAAAAATAATTTCTCTATTTAAACTTTAACAATTTTTACAAAACATTTCAAAGTTGTGAATTAAGCCAGAACAAGTTAGCACTTTTCGGATCTGTAAGTACCACAGAACACAAATTATCCGAAAATGCATGGTAAAAATTCGTCGAATTTTGACAAAAAACTGTGAACTATAAAATTGTAGGGCCTATACGCTTTTACGTTTTCGCCAACATTGGGCTATTTTTAAATAAATCATTTTCCTGCTGATTACAGTGCCGGGACCTTAGATCATGAAAATAACTATCATAAATACTATTGTTTAACGAATTAATTATTTTCAGAAATATAATCATTTGAGCTATAGGTTTTAAGTGGTATTTGCAAACATGGATAGTGTTTTTGTGTCATCCGTATGTGCCACAGAATACCAAACCACCGGGAAATGTGAGGCTAAGAAAATCGCCCAATTCCGACAATTATCTGTGAGCTATATGCTTTTGCGTTTTTTTTTCTATAGGTTCCGTATGGGGATTTACATGTGATCAGGGATCATAAATATAGCGCTTATGTTTGAACGTACCCCCACTCAAATCGAAAAAGGTCCACAATAGAAAATGTACTGAAGAAACAATTTGTTATTTTCTGTAATAAAACTTAAATCTCCCAAAGCTCCGATGCAGTCAACTCTTCTCCTTGACAACCCAGTCAGGGGTTCTAGTTAGGCGACTCCCACCCCCTTATCTTACCGCTGTTGGTCCATTTTTGCACACCTGTACACACACCCACCCATCATCAACAACACTACAATATGAAAACACATCGACATAGGAAGTGAAAGATTCCATAGACCAATTATAACGGGGAAAAAACAGTTCAAGCTCAACTCAACAAACCAATACAAAATAATTCAAATACATTTAATGAACTTTTAACGACGATTAAACATTATTTTTTAAATAAAAATGTTAAAAAAAAGTCTTACCGAACTGACTGTCGCAATACTGTGACTGGGGATGTATCTGAATTTTCTGCGAAGGATTGCATCCACTTGCTGTCAATGAACACACAGCCAATACAAGACATATCTTCCACAAAAATGTATCCATTTTTCGCCAAGTTCGATAGGGTTTTGTTAAATGTACTGTAAGTAAGGTATTGATTCCTAAATTTGGTTGTATAGACAAACAAGAATGAAATCCAGAATAAAAAACGATATATTTCCAATATTTTTCACTGCAGCACAAATAATTTTAGGTAAATATACACACTAATCCTCAGGGAAGATAAGCAACAATAGTAGCTCCGAGTCTGATTAATTTTACAATTGACTTTTACTGTCGTGTCAACTTTCTAATGATGAGACACACTGCTCCACGATCTCACAAAATTTAGTTCTATGTAATCTACCGCCCTCTAACGTTACAAAGTTGTTTTTTTTTGTTTTTTTTTAACCAACTGTTGCTGTAAACATATAATCAGTGGCGGATTTAACTGGGACCCTGTCGGCCTGTACCCCTAAATTTATCAAAATTATTTGAAAAATTGAAAGGAAAAAAAAAATGATACTAAAATTTAAGTCTGAGAGTGCCATTTCTAGCCATCTAGAAGTGTCATAATCATATCATATTGTTTATACCTCATCCCCAACCATAGGGCCGGGCTGAGGTGGACGTATTAACCCCTATCTGTTAAAGTCCATCCCTTTCCCTCCTAATTTCTGGATCCGCCACTAACAATACATTTGCGGGCTTCATCGTAAACATTTGAAATTATTCATTTCGGACAATTTATTTTTCGATGGAACTTACCTTGAACATGGTTGAAGTAAGTGTTTCCGTTGGTTGCTATTGTCAATCATCAATGTGCGATATGCGCTTGAATGCGGTGGACGTTCGGTGACTCTTCAGTCGTAAACTGATTCATTGCTGGTACAGGTTTTTAATGTTGATAGACACATATTAATCGTAACGCACTAACCCAATCATCAAATTCTTTTAATCGGGTCAAACTGTAATTAGTTGGTGCTAAATACTATAAAATATATTGCCATTATCGCCATTATATTATTTTTTTTTTTATTCATATCCAAAAGCAAATACAAATTCAACATACAGAGAAAAGACATCCAAGATCAAAGAAGAAGAGGAAATAAAAAACAAGATAAATAAAAAAAATAAAGTCACTTCAAAATATAGGCCTACCAGCAGGGCCCATATCAGTTAGTGAGGGGTCGCACTAATGTTGCACGCGGCGGCTAAGAAGAAAAGTTTCAACGGAGCAGAGATGGCACCAATAGGGGCATCGGGGAGAGCTCTCTCCCCGCCCTGCCAAAAAAAGACACTGTTGTGTTTTTTGTTTTTTTTTACATATTAATAAACTCTAAAATCGCTTAATTAAGTAGGCCTACATGAAACCTCATAAGTACATGAAACCCCATATTCCGACCACGCCCACTAATGCTCTCTTCTGGGAGCCGTTCCCCCTTTTCGTGGTCCCCCCACCCCGTCGGGCAAATCTTGGCGCCACCCCTGAAACGGAGTACCTGTCAAAGTAAACTCACTGCTTACAACCGCTAAGTAACTAAAACTTTTCTTCAGTTTTTGGTTTTAATTTTTTTTGTTTTAGATTTGCAATTTTTTTTTTATAAATAGGCGCCTAAGTTTACTTTTCTATTTTGTATTTTGGAAGACGGATCAACTAAACCAAAGAAAATATGTTTCCTCTAAAAATGATAATTGCAATTACTGTTTTATATATCATCACTTATCATTAACATAACCATCATCATCAGTATCATCACCATATATCCATCATAATCATCATCGTCATCGTCATCATCATTAGTCGGAAGTGTAATAAAGTTTAATTTATTGTTCCGTTGCAAAGATTTTATTTCCAATGTAATTAAACAATAGAGGGCAGCAGACATTTTTTTGTAATACTCAGGCGACAACGTTTTCCTTTTTTTTTCCATTTTCATCATCAATATTTTACACACTGTCTGCAGTATTAAAGCCAATTAATATTACAGCAGTATCAATGCAAATTACAAAACAATGAGCTATAACATACAATGTGATTTTGTATAGTTAATATAGATAAAACCCTGTAAAAAATCAAATTAACCCGCAACATTCGCCTATTTGAGAGTAATTCTATTTAGTAACGCATTTGAGGTACTGATTTATTACAAGCTTACGGATAAGAGTCGCACGTACTTATGTGAGTTGTGATCGTAATATATTGAAATCATTTTGTCACGAGAGGTGGTGCTGTGTTGTGTTGACTTTTGTGGAGGTTTCTTTTAATTTTTTTAACGTTATTAGTTAAATGTGCTGCAATTATATGTAGATAGTTTCTACAACTTTCAAGAATGTCCGATTTGGGAAGGTTCAGCAGTCGGGAACGTTTAATAAACGCAAATGCCAGGTCTATCAAGATTAGGCCGCCCTACAACAGGCTGTACGTGGCCGTGTTGGCATGTGTTGCGGGACTCGGAGGCTTCCTCTTCGGGTATGATACTGGAGTTGTGTCTGGTGCAATGATTCTCCTGAAAGATGACTTCGAATTAAGCATTTTGTGGCAGGAACTTATCGTTAGCGTGACAATTGGGGCTGCAGCTATTTCTGCGCTTATTGGTGGAGTACTGAACGACCGTTTTGGCAGACGCCCTGTAATCATTACATCAAGCATAGTTTTCTCTTGCGGATCTTTAGTGCTGGGTTTTGCACAGGACAAGCAAACATTGCTGATTGGTAGAATTATCGTTGGAGTAGGGATAGGTATTGTAATGTTGTATTTTTATTGGGGATACAGTTCATTTCTTTTAATATTTGTCTTTGTTGGGATGTGTACCTTTTAATTCCATTACATTATTTTTTTCCCAAAATTTATTGGCCTCACACCATCCTTGAAGTTAACCCCGAGATAGTCGGAGGAGGACGGGAAAAAAAATAAAAATAAAAATTTGTTTTCGTATTTAACCAATGGTTTTGCCAAAAACGTCCAGATGGAGGAGAAAATAAAAGTAAGATTTTATTGGTGACTATAAAACTGTAGTAATGGGATGTTTAAGCTTTAAATTTATATTAGAAAGAAATATTATATGTCTTATTTTTGGAGATGTCAAGGCAGTGGCGGGCGTAATAAAAATAAAGAAAAACTTTTTATTTTATTTCAGAAATTTTCATTTTTTCATGGTGCAGGGTGCGCTAATTGGCCAAACATAAAATTGTTTTTTTATTTTAAATCGTCATTATTGGCAGTGGGGTTCACTAAAGTATAAAAAAAAGTCTCGCTTCTTCTTCTTGTGTCTTGTCCTCCGTGGGCGTTGACTTTACTCCAGGTCTGTCGGTCTGCTGCAGTCCTGAATTCATCTATAGTAGTCTTTTTTTTATTTATTTTAATTTGGCATTCACTTTGGATTGAATGTTATTGCACAAGAGTTACTGTAACATTATGGCATCAATTGTGCAATACAGTATATTGTCACCGTTTTCAAGAAGAGACACAAACTTCAATTTAGACAAAAACAACATTTTGAGAAAAACACGTTTGAAGTGGACTACTTCAAAAATTTCACAACCAAGATATCAAAATTTTGAATATTTTTTACTTTAATTAACCTGTTAATTAGCGTGAAAAGTTTGCATCTGTTTGTGAAAACGAAGAATTTATAAGGCATAGGTTGTTTACACGTACAGCAGATTTCGTGTTTCTTTGAAAACGCAAATCTCGCGCTCCGTTGTCAGACACAAACTTTGTTTCAACCTATGTTTTACCATTGTAGTCAAGGGTGATTATAGGCCTACAAACTAGGTTTATCCTTTTAAAACCATAAATGTTTTAATACTAAGTAAGTGTAATTCCACATTTGAGGCATGTGTATAGGCCTTTTCCATGTTATACTGCAAGTAGGCTACTGCTGTGCCTGGGAATTTAATCTTTTTCCTCTAGCCCTACCCCATTTCCTCTAGCCCTACCCCAGCCAGGCCTCATCTACCCGATCACAACGATAGCAATGCTGTACGTGAGCCTTCTGATAACTAACTGAAAGTTTGTGTCTCGTCGTGAAAATCCATTTTTGTTTGTGCGCAATAGTGAGCTAATTAGTGTAGCAATTGAAAAGGTAAAGTTTGATGTACATAATCAAAATGTCAAAAAAAAATAAAAAGTATGATTTTTTGAGGTTGTGTCTCTTGTGTCCCGCAAAATGACCGCAATACCTAATGTCCTTAGAATCTGTCAAATTATATTATATTAATTTTTTATTGCTTAAATTGAAGGTCTCGCATCAATGACAGTGCCAATGTACATAGCAGAGGCATCCCCAAGTCACGTTAGAGGGCGCCTTGTGACCGTCAACAATTTGTTTATCACTGGCGGTCAATTAGTTGCCAGTATTGTAGATGGACTTTTCTCTGAAAATGCTGATAATGGTTGGAGGTAAAATTTTGAACTTTTATGTTTGTGTTCATAAGTTGACAATGTTGTCAATTCTGCAATTCACATTCTGTATCAATTAACAGAATAATCCATAAAGCCACACATGGCTTAATTTTGCATTTAGATGTTTAAGTGTAACTGTATAATACAATATACAATACAATATTTTTTTGTTTTTCAAAATTAAACAGATCATACAAAAAACAGTTAACAGCACATGACTAAGGCCACATAGAAAAAAAAAGTTATGATGGCGGGCGTTTTTTTTTTCTTAATCGGAACAATAAAAAATTGCTTTTTTTTATTGATGAGGGAGGGACTGTTTTTATTTGGCAAGAATATTGTAAATATTGTATAAAAATTGGTTTAATTTTATTCCCAGTCACGAAATTGCATCGTTTTTTTAAGCTGTTGAAATAAATAATGCGGCAAATTTTTTTTTTTTTTTTAATCCTGCATCAATATTTCCGAATTTTTAACGCTGGCAGGAGTAATAATCTAACTATTTTTTTATGTGCCTAAAGATGCAACTTTACGGCTCGTTTGTACTCATGCAAATAGCTTAACTGCTTAATATTAGACGGAAGTTTATTCCAGTCTTTAAAATGGTGTTGTACTTGAAGTTCAACCTGTTGTAACTGGAGTTACATTATCATTATCATTTGATGATTCTTATGCAAACTTTTTAACTGTGTCCCAGCATCTTCAGACCAAATCATAACAACCAATCAAATTTAAAGCCAGGTGCCAGAGTGAAAAGCTTGTACAATCTGATTTATCTAAGACACAAAAACCATATTTGACGAAAAACTCAGGAGTGGTTAATGAGATACAGATGTAAATATAAATATTTAAAAATCTATCTCATTATTACTGTTTCAGAGTTTTTCATCAAATATACTTTTTGTGTGATAAAAAAATCAGTTGTTTGTACTAGATCAGGGCTGAAAACTGAATTATGCTGAAAATGCCTAAAATACAGGTTTTCTGGAGACGCTATTATTCCACTAACTCCAAAAAGTAGGCTATTTTCCTTGCTACACGACATCTTCTTCTCGTGTCGATCGTGAACTATGAATTTTTTCTCGGACTAATGATTTTGGCTAAAGACAGATTCAATTGGCTAAAAATAATTATTACACCAATGTCATCTTGCTGGTTTTATTGATTTTGCTTTTTTTGTAAAATTATATGTTGGACCGTAAAAAAAATAGGACCAGTATAACTTTGGAAGAACCAGTATAATTTTTTCCTTACTGGCCCTGCTGGCTACTATGGTTTAGAGTTTAATTTTCAGCCCAGAGATATCCAAAATTTGTGTTCCTCCGGAGCCTGACTTTAATCTTTAGTGGACCTTTCAATCAAATTTAAAATCAAGATTAATATCAAAACATGTTATTAATTGACAGGGTTGCCCACAAACACTGACTATGTTTCTTTTTGAATGAATAGAAGTACTATTTTTATTGGATGTAAGCTTCGGTGGCTGCTGTGTCGTTAAATCTGACTGTCCATTCTGTTATTTTGTTGCTTGCTTCCATTCAGTTTATTGTTTATTTTGTCGGAGCAGTATTGTTCATGTAAATCTTTCTTAATAATATATGAATGATACTTTAATATTGATTCAATTTAATGACAATCATAACCTCTTGATATAATTCACTTACCAACAATTAGATATAATTTTTGTCCATTTCACCACCTGGTTTTAGGAATACAATAATATACTGCTGGCTATGTGCTCGCACAACATGCTTTGCCTGCATTTAAAATTGCAGCCTACTTATGTAAACTTGTAATGGAGCAAGAGCATTGATTGTAATCACCGAGGCAGAGCCCCTTCTTCATACTTATTCAATTCAATTTGTTATTCATCCTACTTGGGGTTTATTTAAACACATGACTGAACATTCATAAAAGCGATACTGATAGAATACACTGAAATATATGTTGCCTGCTTTGAAACAGCAGGTCCACTACATTAACACTTGACATATCACTGTTTTCAGCCCTGCATTTCTTTGCCCAATATTTTTCTCTATTTTCATTGATAACAAATCTAGTGTCCAATACCAGAGACAGTTTCTTAAATTTAATTCAGAAATATGGCCATAAATTTTAAAATTTTATCCGAATAACCATGGGGTTCTGGCATTAAAAATATACAAAAAAAAAGTCTGTAAAAAAAAAAAGTCTGTAAAAAAAAAAGATTCTAAAAATGTACTGTATGCTTGAAATAAGGTTGTAAATTTCTTGGGTTTATTTATTTATTTATTGTTTTTTTCTAGTTGGCTTTTTGAAGTATCATGCCAAGAAATTAGTGGTCTTTCAGGAGACAAGGCATCTGTTTCTTTGCTTTCCTTTTTGAATCAACCATTGTCTTTTTCATTTCTTTGTGCTTTATGTGTCCATGAGCACGGGACTTCATTGTTTTTGAGGAAAAAAATTGAAATAAAAAACAAGATCTAATGTCCCTGCAGCTTTTCTCTTAGAATCTAATGCCCTTCATTCTATGAAGTTTTTTTTTAATGGAGTCATCTATACATTACTACATAATCCAATCTTATTATTTTGTCTTTCAATGATTTTTCTTATTAAAGAGTAGACCTACAAATAAATGTACATTTGAAGATTTGAAAAGATGCACAATTCTCCAAATTTCACAACCACTTCAGGTCTTTAATAAATTTACAGTACAGTAAATCATATAATACAGTACTGAATGTAATTGTGTGTGTAACATAGGGCAGCTATGAATTCCAAGAGGTTCTAGGCATTAGGTCTCTTTTTCCACACTCTATGGATTTCTGGGCTTGTTACTATGTCCATATGTTATCCTTGTTCCGTCAAGCAATCATATCGGAAAATTTTCCGTCCTTGTAATTCATTACCTACTTCATTTTACTGTATACACTTTCTATGCAAGGATTTCCCCTCAGAGGTGTAATAAAATTGTAAATCATTTCAGAAGCCTTTGGCAACTATGCATACTTTATCATTAACTGCTGTCTGAGACCTAAATAACTTAACGAGAATTATTATCTATGTTCAGACCATATGCTTGCTGTACTGTAATTTTGGACAGATAACATTTCCAGACATACTGATGATCTCTGAGCATTATGTCCACACAAAACGCTGTAGTGACTCATTTGATGACACTCATTGGACACACATGTTCTATGTATTGCAGACCTTTTAAATTTTTGTATATTAACAGACATGCCAACCACTCCAATTTCGGCGGAGTTACTCCGTTTATTTAAGCAAAACTCCGCACTCCGATTTGGGGTCGAAAATCTCCGCTTTTTACGCATTTTGGCCAGCTGAAATAAATCGCGCATTCCCGAATAAAAAATGATAATCCTATGATTTAGATTCGAACAAGACCACTTAATTTCGTCCTGAAAACAGCGCTCTGAACTGTAGGCCCTATACACAATAGTAATTCGCGTTCTATGGTCTACTGTTTTCGAAAAAAGTCCCAATTTCATTGACACCAAATCGCTGTCATAGTTTCACTCTGAACTGTATATGAAAAATTAATTCGCGTTCCACGGTCTACTGATTTTAGGACGCGAAATATCACAATTTTTGTGTCACCTGTGGATAAGCCGCACCTATTTTTAAGCTCCAAACCGTTCCCATAATGTTAAGTTTCTAATTATTTTTAAACATTGACATTATTTACAATCCGATGACATTGGTACCATGTCTTAGGAATATTCCTCTCACATTGCCAAAACTCCGCTCAGAAGTTTTTGAGACTCCTCTTATTGGCCTTGTAGGGTTGGCATGTCTGTATTAATTAAGGGGTTTAAATAACTACTTCTAACATTCTCCAAATCTAAAAAAAAAATCTACAATAATTAATGTGGGTGTACATTGCAAAATGTATGCTAAAAAAATATTGGTTACTGTAAAGCTACACTAAGAATAATAATTTAGTTTATAGCATTGCTTTCATAAAGCAATTTATTTTTTATTCTAGAATTGCAAAATAACGATAGGGTATTATGGTACCAGCTTACATTGATCATCATCATTCACCATCAACATTATTAGCATCATCATCAAAGTTAAAATTTTCATCATCATAATAATCATTATCGATTACATCATCATCATTCACCATCAATATTATCAGCATCATCATCAAAGTTAAAATTTTCATTTTTTGTGTTGAATCAAGTACTGTATGTACTGTAGATGATATTTTTTGATCATCATTATCATAATTATTTTAATACCTTGACAGGTACATGCTAGGCCTAGCTGCAGTGCCAGCAATACTACAATTGATAGGGTTCCTGTTTTTACACGAGAGCCCACGGTGGCTTGTTATACACGGCCAGTACCAAGACGCTAAAGGGGTTCTAGGCAAAATTTATGGTGAGAATAATTATGGCGATGAGTTTGAAAGTATACGCACCAGTGTGGAGGAGATAAAAAAGGCAGAACATGGTGGTAAGTTTCTATAGTATGATCATCAATTATCGTAATCACTGTTACAATCACCACCAGCATCACCGTCATCATTATTATCATCATGATCATCTTCATCTCCCAGGGTTCAGTTGGTAAACTAAAATCTTCTACACATCTGGCTCATGCGCACTTTAAATAGCCCATTTCATTTTTCGGAATAGTATGGGTTATTATCCCGGTGCTATGGTTTATTTCAGCCCCTGTCATTGTGGAATGATATGAACATGAATCTACTACAGTATACGTGCCTCTTTATGGTGACTAGGTAGGCATGGACCACGGCCATGCCCATGCAAAATTCAGCACAATGACGCTTCGAGTTATGGGTTATATCCCTTTACCTATACTAGTTCACTTCACTACAGTTTTCATTAATACTGTATATACACATTATACAGTGGAATCCTCACTCCATGAGTGCATTGCTAATAATAGTACATTTCTTATAGTGTACTGCTATAAAATGTTAAAACATTGCACATGAGTGCTAATTTTCTATATGTACTATTATAAAACTGTTAATAAAATTGCACATGTCTGTATGGCATGGCTTATATTCTGATCATGATACCCCATCCATCATAAATTATATGTAAATTATTGGAATAAAATGTGTTGAATACAGCCTTTATATATACTAACAAACTTTATTAAAAATATAGACACTTTTGTTCATGTGTAGACTTCCTCACTTTGACCTTGTAAATTATACTGTACTTCCTTAAATTTGAATTCCTACAGAAAAATTTTAAAGAAAACCACCCTTCCCACTTTCTACCCCTTCCTCCCCCTCCCCCTTCACAAAAAAAAATATTGTCTTCAGATTCCTCTTTGACTTGTCAGTAAATTTCTTATTTCTGGTGCATGTCAATGTGTCTGTGCACAATACAGTACTGATTTGATAAACACATGTAAAATGTACTTGTGTGTGTATTGTTTATTTTTAGGCAAAAAACACTTGCTAAAGAACATATTTAAAGATCCAAGAGTTAGACAAGCATTAATTGTTGGCTGTGGCTTACAGATGTTTCAGCAGCTTGCCGGCATAAACACTGTCATGTAAGTAACATTTGAAATGATATTTTTATTAATTTGTTGTTTATAAATCATTATAATTTTGTTTTTGTTTGCCATATTGAAATGAAATATATCTTGTTGAATAGATGTCTTTAATTAAATCAATCTTATGGTCAACCCACTGCCCATTCAGTTAATAATAATATAATTTTTAACCAGTTAATTCTTATTAAACATTTTTTATTATATCATCTAGTGATATTTTTGTTATCAGGTTTGTACAAATCCTTATAATCCATTTTTAAGAAAAAAATATTTAATTCTATTTATAATTAACATAACTCTATAATCCATCAACATTTTCCAAAGCTGGAACTATAGAGAATCATTTTATCAGGTTTTCTATTATCTAATCCATTTTCTAATATTTGATTTTTAAAGAAAAAATATTCAATTCTAGTAGAAAAATGTTATGTATGATCCATCAAAATTTTCTAAAGCTAGAGTAGATTTGAGAACTATTCTGTAATAATTGTAATAAATTTAGAAATAAATAAATAAAATCACATACAGACATTTACTAAGGTTGTTGCACATCAGGATCATTTGTTATTTGAAAGATGTTTGAGCGTAAATCCAATTGTCCATATATTGAATAGTAGCCTACTTATAAAGCCTTAGATATTACCCACTAATCCCTTAGCAAAGGCATTCAATCACTAGTTATTGGCTTTGTCAGTTTAAAGATCACCAGGATCAGTGAACAATTGCAAGGATTAGCTAATTAACAGCGAATAACGATGAGCTCTCCGCACAAGTCTCATTATGTATGCATGTGTTGCGACCTGCTCCTTGAGTCTAGCGCAATCATCATGCTTGTATTTCAATTTTATTCTGCATTGCATTTTCATGTAAAGGCACTGATTTATTCTGTACTGTGGTTCAGAATAAATCCCAAAATTATATCAATACAAGATTAGTAAAAATATTATATTTTTAATTAACAAACATGAACACATTTTTTTTAATTGTTGCTATAATGTTCAGCGAACCCACCGACTGCAAATATTGATGATTTCGAATAAAAATAAAATTTTATTTTTGGCCAATTAGCACACCCAACGCCACAAAAAAGTGGAAATTTCATAAAAAAATAAAAGGTTTTTGCTACCTTGAAATCTCCAAAGATAAGATGTTATTTCTTCTTTAATTATATAAATTTGAAGCATTAAATTCTATTTTACATTCACCAATAAAATTTTAGTTTTATTTTCTCCTCCATCTGGATGATTTTGGCAAAACTATTTGCTAAAATAACAAAACAAAAATTTATTTTTATTTTTATTCCGCTCTCCGATAATAAGTCTTGTCTTACAATAAACAATTTTTTAAATCTGTTTCATACATTGTGTGTTGGTCATGTTGACCTATTCGTATACGAATAAAACAAAAAGATAAAATATATAAAAAACTTAATGGCATATCACAATGACAAAATAAATGAGGTAACAATAAGGTCAGACAGAAGTTCATTTTGAAAACATTTATCGTCATCATCGACAATGCTGGTGGTCTCTCGACATTTATTGCATATTTAAGCATGATTTCTTGCAACTTAAAGTCATCCTATTGGTCGGATCCTAGAGTACCAGACCCTTTGTCTAATTATGTGACAGTTTTCATCAGACAATTACTATACAGTAAGCTGTTAAAATACATTAATTTTATTATTGCATTCTAATAATTTTGAATAAAAGATGTAGTGTGTGTGCACTAGTGATTCAGAACATTTCTCTGGTGCGTTTACTCTGTATATTCCTATAGGCATTATCCTTGTCCACTTAACAATATAATAAGCAGCATATATGTTTACATCATATATTCAATAAAATTGCTAATACCAAGACCTTACTTTTGTTCTATAATAAGTTAGTACTTTGAGATCAGTCTTATTCGTTTTAGATGAGGAAAATATTCCTCATTGGTTTAAACAAAATCTACAGTATGGTGAGTAAGAGTTAAGAGAACTAAAATTACCTGATATCGATTGTAGAGTGTCAAATGTTTTTACATGTTAATGGAAGATTTTTTATTGCGTCAGAAGGAAATGAAAAATGACCTAAAAAGGAATTGTGGGAAATTAAGCATGAAATTTTAGCTGATAAAAGCAAACATTATCTGGCATTGATAATAAGGTTACGCCCAGTCTGTTTCGTCTCAGTAATAAATTTCAGTCTTCTATTACCATATGTTGTGGAGTTCACTGAATATGCTTATAAGATTTAGAGTACATTACAGTGTGGAAAAAAATAGGAGATTTTGTAAAGATAATTTTTAGAGGCTTTGTTTTTGATTAGTAATATTTATAGGCATTTTAAGACTAGAATGATTTATGATGGTGGTAATGGTGGTGGTTGTAGAATGGTTGTGGTTGTGATGGTGGTGGTGGTGGTGGTGGCTGTGGTAAAGATGATGATTATGATGATAGTGGTTGTGGTGGTAGTCATGGTGATGATGAGTGTCTGTGATGGTGATAATGTTTTTGTGTTTATTCAAAATTCCAAATTGCATTAGAAATTGTGAGATGATTAAAAATCAGATCTAAAATCTGTCAAATGAAATTTTAAGGAAGATTGAAAATGTTAAGTCTCATTGATTGTTGAAAGTATTTTATGTATTTACAGTACAGTATTGTTTATGAAGATAACGTTCCAGAAAACTCCTTGCTTCAGTCTGAGTAATTATGATGCTTTTAATAAGTAGTTTCCAATTTCAACGAGCACAAAATTATGCAATGTATTATGTAAAAATATACACATTGCTTGGTTAAGAGACTTAAAATAAATAAATATATAATATATATAATATTTATTTAATATGATTTAAATGTTTAACTAATAGGTATTATAGTGCAACCATTATACACATGGCAGGAATCCAAGCAACCTCTCTTGTTATCTGGTTAGCAGCGGCAGTCGCATCCGTCAACTTTATATTCACTGTGTTTGGTCTCTTGCTTGTTGATCGACTTGGTAGGAGAAAGCTTTCTATCATAAGTATGGCAGGTAAGTGAAAATAACTAAATACGCATTTTAAATGAGAAGAACATAACTTAGAACATAATTTATTTATTTCATTCTTAATGCACAAGTTACACATAAAATGAAATAATTTATTATTTAATTCTTAATGCATGAGGCCTAATACCAATAAGGAACATAATCACTTTAACATTGGCAATCCGTTTCACAAGAAAAAACATACACAAGTTGTTCTAGATAAAGTCTACCACACAATTCTGTAAATCATTTATATGAATTCAACTGTATTTTGTAAGTCTACCTTAATTGTACTTTTTAACTGAGTATTTGTATTGTGTGGAGAAACAAGAAAAAACACAAAGTTAGTCTTGCATGAGCTTTACGGGAGTGAAGTTGTGTTTGGTTGTGAGAAAAAAATCTAGGATTAAAAGGCAAGCAGGCTATAGCTGTTTTCCAATTGATAGAAAATTTCACCACTGAAAGTTGAATACTTATTTTATCTTCAATTCTTACAGAGGTCATCAACTTTTCACATTTATTTGCCACGTTTTGTGATATTTATACATATTCCTCATTAAAAAGCCAAATCAGAATAATTTCTGCATTAACACTTTCAAGGGAAGTTATGAATAATTACAGCCTTATTTATTGCATTTCTTTCAAAACTACAATTGGTCAGTCTCACGGGGAAAGTCATGTACGATTGCACGATTAGCCGAAGGAGTTTTTTACGCGTTATACCTCCCACATGTAAACATGTTAGCACACCCACGGATATCTTTATTGTATCAGCATCTGCCGATCTTGTTGTCTTAATTCTCTATAGTCCTTGGAATGCATATGATTTGTTTTTTTTAATGATCTATTATAAACAATGTGAAAGTTTACAATATCAAAAATTCTAATGTCTTGAGATGTATGATTATTATGTGTGAATGACTTTAGATTTGTGATGTATAATTCAAGGTCTGTCCATATACTCATGTTATTTTGTGGCAAATGTCTTTGATTTGACCATATATGGACATGATGTTGTCCAGTCAGACAGGTATATTTCACAGTAAACTTGAGATAATAAATGTATTAGCCAATTTGCAGTAGGAATATTTGGCACAAACTAAAGGAAGTTGGTGTTCTATTCACCCATCCTACTTAATGCCCTGCTTACTAAGTATACTCCATCTCGCCGTCTCCGTTTATCTTCTCAAAATCTCCTCTCTGTTCCCAAATATTCTACCAAAACCTATGGTCAATGCTCATTCTCCTTTGCTTCTGCTTTTCTTTAGAACCAGCTTCCTATTAATATAACTACTTCCTCTAATCTCTGCAACTTTAAATTGCAAATTAAGACCATTTTGTTCTCCGAGGATATCACACTTGCATAGTGCGCCTTTGATCATTTTTGGAATTGGTGCCATATAAATTCCAGATATTATTATTATTATTATTATTATTATTATTATTATTATTATTATTATTATTATTATTATTATTATTATTATTCAGACTTCAAATGAAAATTAAAAATGCATTGTATCAAAAAATATAAACCCTGAAATTGTTCCTATCTAAACTTCGAAAAGGATAATAAGAAGCAAATATAACTTGAGATACAGTATACAGTACTACAGTAGTGCTATACAGTGCTATGACACACTGGTACTGCTGTCTCTTATACACATCTAGATGTGTATAAGAGACAGATGCTGGTGGTCTCTCGACATTTATTGCATATTTAAGCATGATTTCTTGCAACTTAAAGTCATCCTATTGGTCGGATCCTAGAGTACCAGACCCTTTGTCTAATTATGTGACAGTTTTCATCAGACAATTACTATACAGTAAGCTGTTAAAATACATTAATTTTATTATTGCATTCTAATAATTTTGAATAAAAGATGTAGTGTGTGTGCAGTATACAGTACTACAGTAGTACTATACAGTGCTATGACACACTGGTACTGTAAATATGTACAGTAGTGTAGCATACAAGATTAGCATGGAGATGGGGAGGAACAAAATTGAGGAGATCTAGCTGAGAAATTAGGAATATGAGGTGCTTTATTTCTTCAGTATTATTCAGCGGGAAGGTGACAGGTGGGGTGGGGATGGAGAAAAGGAAATTTCCATAGATACGCAAATATCCTGTAGTATGTTATATGTGTGAGCTTATTTGTACTGTAGGATGTTATTTCCTATATTCAATAATAAACATACTGTACAGTAAGACACAGTACTACTGTATATTTTATTTTTAGTTCATTAATTCCCTTTAACCTCATGAGACTATAGATCATTTTTTAAAAACTTTTTTCATGTAGTAATGTTTGCCTTATATTTCTTTAAATATACATCTATTAAAAAAATGAATCTTTAAGCTTTGACGTCATAATTCCTGTTTGTAGCAGATTCAGTTTAATCCATCTACTCTAGAAATCTAGATTTTATTACTCAATATAAAAATAAAACAATTAAATATATTGAAAAAACTGAATTTATGGTGAGTACTCCAAAGCAATTGTGTGTTTTTCATTTTATATTAGAGCACAGCTGCACAATTCTCATGAAATCTAAAGAAATTTCAAAATTTATGTTTGCATAATTACTTGATTATCTCAATTAAAAAATTTCAAAATGTATGTTTGCATAATTACTTGATTATCTCAATTAAAAAAAAAAGCTTGAAAGTAATTACAAATTTAAATGTAATAATAAATTATAGGATTCGTAGCAGTTTTGATTCGGGTTCTTAACGTTGAGGGTGGAAGATCGAATCTCTGGGTAAGAAACTGACCTATAGATGTGGGTACCTGGTAGGTTCAAACATCAATAGGCTGACCATTGCTGCAATTTTATAGTGTTTGTTCCAATTACAGTTAAATGTGATAACTTCAGTGTCATTATACTGTAATGTAGTTTCCCAACCTCGAGGTCGGGGTTTTAATCCCTCGCTTGCCATTGGGCAATTTGAAATAATACTTGAAAATCATGGGGATGGCAAGACATCTTTTGGTCCATGGGGAGGGAGAATGGAGAAATAAAAACTTCCTTGGACACTTCCAATTTGATATATTTTAAGTTGCAAAACTTGGCTGAATGTTGTTAAAGCATAACGTATCCTGCTCAGAAACTATCATCCATAACACCTATCCAATATTTCAAATATATTTTTGTTTAATTTAAAAATACTTTATTCACCAGCAGAAAAATATTTCATCTGTGTTGAAAAAAAATTGTGTTGTGACCCTTAGAAACTCAGTAGCTTGTGACCCAGAATATTAATAGGAATTTGATACATAAACAAGATTTGAATGACAATCATTGAATGCTGCTAAATCAGAAAAATATATAAAGTAAAAGAGTTGGGTAATATTAGTAGTAGTAAAGTAAACTTTATTCTATAATAAAACAAACAAAATGTACATTTCTGATTCAAGAATAATGGAAAAGGAAACTCAAATAAAGCAAAGCTTTGTAAAGGAATTAATACATAGAATTAAAATTTAGAAAACACAATAATTATCTTACAAAAATAACAATAATAAAGCTAAACAAGTAATAAATAAATAAAAGCAAGTCTGTTTACATCCCACACAGAACAAATATTAGTTAATTTGGCCCCGCTTACACTGCAGAAAATCCCATTGTAAATTACACAGAATATAAATAAATAAGAATATTAAATAATAAAAGTTGAAGTGGAATGCATGCATTATGTACAGTAGTTTAATATTCAATCAAATATATTTTGCGGCTGATCCTGTGATAGCCTTGTATACTTTTGAAATTCTCTTTTTGAATCATTTTTTAAGCTATTACGTTGCGCATTATTTATTACAGCCATATTTCTTGTGATAATAAATGTCGTATCATATTTGATTTATAGTTTTATTCACTGGATAATATACTGATTTTCAAAGCAATACGTAATTGGTACATGAGCAAAAAAATATCTATGAACAACGGTTTATTAGTATTTTAAGGAGGACAGTGTGCGCTGATAATTGCGTGTTGATAATTTGAATGATAGTGACAGCAGCATTCTATACTACTCATACCGTGAGTGCATTTTGTGAAGTAGTTACATACTGATTTTCTTTAGTCAGCATCTCGAGTTGATTGGCTATTTAGCAGTTTACTCAAATCTTTTTCCACAGTTGCTGTAAACTTATGAAGAAATATGTGATCAAACATCATGATTTAAGTATTATTTTCGTGGGGTTCATATGTTACTTAGTTCTGATACCACATTATAGAGGGCAGTTGTATCAGTGGTTGAGTTTTTGACGTTGAGGCTGCTGGGGCGGCTGCAGAAGCAGTTTGGCACAGTGTGAAAGGTTTCGTTTCCCAACCTTGAGGTTGGGGTTTCAATCCCTCGATCTGCATTTCGCTTGTGTCCTTGAGCAAGGCACTTTATCTGCATTGCTTCTCTCATCCAGGAATATAAATGGGTACCTGGTGGGGTTACTTGCTAGAACGCTGACTAAAGTAGCAACACTTAGGCATGTGAATCCAATGACCAGGGACAGAAGCGCTTTGTATCTGCAGAGAAAGGTACCATATAAATATCCAAATATGAATATGAATGAATAGGGGGTGCGTGAGAGTCCACACTACCTTAGGCCCACCATGGTTGAGGCTGAGGTGTGAAAATGTTGAGAATATGGACCTCTACGTGCCTGGAAATTGCACTCTCTTACCTTAAAAATCTTAACGGTAATTCATATCAACATTATCATACAACAATTATATTTCTTAATACAGTTTAGGGGATGGAGAGGTGGGATCGCACAGTCTACATCCCCACTGCATCCGCCCCAGGGTTGAGATTTTGAATCCCATGTGCATTTTGCTTGTCCTTAGGTAATGCACTCCACATGTGGGTGCCTGTAGTAAGAATAATATAATGCTATGACAACCTCAAATTTTTGCTACCTCAAATGAATGCCTAAGACCCCCCTGACCCAAAAGTGGGTCTTTAATTGGAGGGAGAATTGTAATGCCATTTATCTTTGAACTTTACGAGAATGTGTGGCAAAATGCTGAATAGGAATGTGGCAAGTAACAGGGTCTATTCTGTGGCAATGGGGCCCACAAAGTAACGCCAAAATAAGTAGCTCATACTACCTGCTTCTTTTACCACCACTCGCCACTTTTTAAGTGCTGTCCTCCTAGAAGCTGTGCATCAAATATTGAGCACATGTGGAGCACATAATGATGATTCAATATATACTTAATTATGTGAAGAGTAAGTTAACCAAATTTGACATTATAGAGTGTATAGCACAATGTTGTTAATGGACAAGTAGTTGGAATAAGTTGTGATTGTAACTGAAAATTTCTAATCCATAAATATTCAATGAAATCAGCCACTTTCCGTCCATCTGCCCAAACACGCAGTGTTTAATCATGTTTGCGTTCTATTAGCTTTGCTTGAGAAAGGACTTTAGTAGATCTTCTAATCAATATTGCATGGCAACTCTACACCATGCCAAAACCTGTTCATATTTACAATCTGTGGGTTTTCTTTGAAAAGTGGACAGTTCATTTGAGCAGACATCGTAATTATTCTTATTCCATTTTCATCCTTCTGTGCTTGTTAAAATAAAAATCCTGAACTGTATGTGGCACAGCTGTATGGACAGGTTCTAATTGAAAGACGAGTTTGAGTTTAATGTTAAACACTTGTTAAACACCATTTCAACACCAATGCATTGCATGCATTTTGTTTGTCAGCTATAAGAAAAAAAGCTGCCAGTATATGAAGTCAGAATATGTAAGGAATTGGCAGGTGTACAAATGATACAATGGAAGGCGTTTGAAAGATGAAGTGATTATATTTTGGTGTCAATACGTGAACCATTCAAAGCAAAACGTCGCAGATCAGATATCTTAAAAACTAATCAACTCATCTAAATGCAACTTTTGTGTAAGTGTAACATTTTTGAACTAGATTGTGGTTGGTGGTTGGAAAGTGACAATGATGATGTAGTTTTATATAGCGCCATATCCATCTAACATAAGATGCTCAGGGCACTTGATATGTGGACTAGGAACTCGATTAATGACTTTCTTCGCCCCTAAGGGTCCCTTCGTGTCTGTGCTACCCGGTAACCCGGTACCAGCAACTCTCGTCGTCCACCACGACAAGAAAGTAGGAACATGTTTTTGAGGAATTATTTTATAGAAAGAGATTTGCGAGTTATTTGAAGAGGAGTGGAGGGGCGAGGGGTAGGATGGTAGTAGTGGTGGTTGAAAATTAGGAACATATTTTGGGAAATTTATTTTATAGAAAGGAATTTGCGGTGGGCGGAGATATGCTGTCTACTGAGTGCTCTTGTTATTATTATATTTGTATGCAATATGACTGTACTGTATTACTGAATAAATTCCAGTCAGTACAAATAGGAGAGGAGTTATCAAGAATTATCTCCAGAATTGCTCAAGAAACTATGCCTGTTTCTACTGAACAATGATGAAGCACTTTTCTCTTTTTGTAATTGGTTGGGAATCAAATTTCAAAAAAAAAAAATATAAAAAAAATCTGTATCAACTTTCATGTAGCAATGGTGCTTGGAATGACATCATTACTATGAACATTGGGTTTGTTACTCGGACAAAGATTATGATTATAATAGTGCCATGAAACAATAAAAATAATTAACCTCTTTAATATTTAAAATGTATATTGTACTTATGTCAAGAAACGATCTGAATCTGAACCTAATAATATATTTCAAAAATACAAATAAGTATTATTGGTTAACAGTAATCTATGAGAAGATGTTACATAGTGTTTTTAAAACTGTATATAATTCATACAGTGTTTTATTATCTATTACAGGGGTTGTTTTTGCTCATCTATTCCTTGGTGCCAGTTTCCAGTTAGCTTCAATGGATTCACCACCTGTAGACATTATTAATAACAATACAATATGCCACTATAGGTTAGAACCATTTTTGTTTTATTTTCTTCTTGTAATTATTTTGTTGTCGTTAATAATTTTTTTTTTTTTCTTTTATATTTTTCTATTCTTGTTTTTTTATTTTAGTAGTGTAGAAATTAGAATAATGCAAATTTGGAAGGTATTAATATTTTTTCTTACTAGCACATGTGATGGATGTATACTTAATTCACAATGTGGATTCTGTTATGAAGAACTCAACAACACAATTTTTGATGGAGCCTGTATTTTAGGTACTCAGAAGCAAAACCTTAGCAGTTGTGATTCAGATTGGGCCTTTGATTACTGCCCATCAGCTTTTGCTTTTCTGGCAGTTGTTGGCATGGTTCTTTACCTGATGTTCTTTGCTCCAGGTATGTACTACAGTAATAGCTGTAAAACTTGTTGTAGTGCTGAAGACTCGCATGTAATATTTTGGAAGATTCCACATCTCACAAAACATTCTGAGGGCTCCTACACCTTCTACAATCTGAGTTTCACATCCTATATTTCACATTAAAGACTTCTATATCTTGTCCAACATGCAGTGGTGCAGGGTGGGCATCAGTCCACCTGTTGGACAGGCCTGGACCGACGAACGGCTAGGTCGTCGGACCAAAAATGTAAAAAAAAATGTAAAAAAAAATATGCCTATCCAAATAACGCTATTTTGATTGCCAGTCCCTAATATTGTGATGTAAAAGCACATTTAGGACCAAATTAAGCCATAAAAACTCCCCCGAAGCCTAACAGAGAATTTTTATTCCGGGCCGTCGACCGAGGCTTCATCGTCGCCTTGGTTCGTGCCCCTCTGGTGGACATGTCAGACCCCTTGTCAGCTAATTTCTGGCGCCACCGCTGCCAACATGGTCACAGCTTTGATATTTTAGACAATTTTTTGGGTTCCAGTCCCTAAACTTTGTCTTAATCAGTGAAAATGCTTAAAAATAAATCAATTTTGGCACCAATGGCATTCCATATTACTGATTTGCATGGCGGTCCATAGTATATTTTTCTGGGACTCCATTTAAATACCTTTTAACAATATTACAAATTTCTCTCCAAAATTTGCTAATATTAGGAAAAATAAATAAATTAGAGACTTGTGGCAAGTCATAATGGTTTTCTAGAGGCTCCTACATCTCAAATAATTTGCTGACGTTTACACATCTCGCACAACATTTAGAAGATCCACCACCACAACTCACAATTTACATAATGTCCACGACTTGCACACAAATTGCTGAAGAATCTATGTCTTGTACAAAATGCTGAAGATGTCCATGTCTTGTACAAAATACTGAAGATGTCCATGTCTTGTACAAAATACTGAAGATGTCCATGTCTTGTACAAAATACTGAAGATGTCCATGTCTTGTACAAATTGCTAAAGATATCGACAACTTGCACACTTTGTCTTCATTCATCTACCTTTACAATGCCAGATTAACTTGGACTTCAATGTCCTACCATTTACTACACCATTCTTGCCCATAAGTTAACATGCTGTATATTTTTTAATGAAAGATTAACAAGTACAGTAAATTAATCCACATTTAACCAGGAATTTTAACCTAAATTATTCTCATTGTTAGATAAGCATAGTTCTTTCATTCAATAATTCATGTTTCTTCAATTTTCATTAGATTCACTGCTTTTTATATTTTCATAATTAATATGCTTTACTGAATTTTTTAAAATTCAGGAATGGGAACAATGCCGTGGACGGTCAATTCTGAGATCTACCCACAGTGGGCGCGCAGTACTTGTAACTCGTTCTCTACATTCACCAATTGGATGTTTAATCTTCTCATATCAATGACATTCCTCAGTCTTACACAAGCTATTACTAGACAAGGTATGTTCACAAATTTCTGCTGTATAATGATAATGTGGGAATTATACTATGCCCTTTAAGATGAGCATATACAGTGGCGGATCGAGGTATTCTTGTAACCGTGTTATTGTCGATGATACAATTTTAATTATAGAGGTGAATGTTGATTTAATTCTTTACACTATTATCCCAGCACTGAGTATAACCTTCTTCTTATCGAGTCACTACGTAGCTAGTGTGCATGATCTAGCTTACGTAGTGTGGTAGAAGGATTCGCAGGTTGGATGGGTACCTGACATGGGCCGCGTCGTGAGCGCTCCTTTTTTGTGGCCGGACAGGGGACTAGAGATGGACCAGTACACCGGGGTAACCCCCTACTCTTCTCGAATGATGTGCTGGGTTCTTTAAAGTGCACACGAGCCAATTGTGTACACTGGGCCTACGGTTTAGAGTCCTTATCCGAGAAGACTTGTTCCACCAACGGAACCATAGGCGAGCGTGCCGTTCGAACCAGTGCCGATATTATGGCTGTAAGTCACAGTTCCCCTGTCTTAACCACTCGACCAATCGTAACACCTAGGAAAGGTGAAATGTTTATAGATTTACAGTAAAACAAAAACAGTAAAGTTTTTTACTCATCTAAATCTCATTCCAGGAACCTTCTATTTATATGCTGGAATTTCCACACTTGGGTTAATATTCATCATTACGTTACTCCCTGAAACCAAAGGTAAACGTCTCGAGGACATCCAGCAATTATTTGATCATCCATGCGTGTTATGCGCCTCAGAAGATGACACACCTGATGTCCGCTATGTTCGAGTTACACCACACAGGGACGCAGATGGATCAGATGGTAGGTCTTAATCCAATTAATCCTCTATAGGTTTAAACATTAATCCAATTAATCCACTGTAGGTTTAAACATTAATCCAATTAATGCAATATAGGTTTAAACATTAATCTAATTAATCATATAGGTTAAGTAATTTCCAATTATGAATAAATTTATCCTTCTTGTATGATAGTTTACTTAATGAATTTTTTAGTATTTTTTATCATGTGTTATATGCTAATATATTTTGTTGATCAGTTTTCTATATTTGTGTACCATGTTTCTGGATTCTATTCTATAATTTATCCTATTATTTATATTTTCTTAATAATTTGAATCTAATAATTTTCTTTTAATTTATTCCAGATTTATTTGTGATTCTCAATTTCTATTATTTGATATATGCAAGCTACTAATATTTATTTTTCTTTAATTAAAAGAATAAAGTCAAAATTAAAAAAATAACGGTTTGCCAGAGTGGCTTGCCCCTATTTATGGAAATGGAAAACCCAATAACTTGGTAAAAATTATTATTGGTAAAAGCATGACAAAAGTTATATTGGTATAATGGATAAAAATCAAACGCAGTTACATTTTCTTTAAAGCTCTCATTGAAACAATTAGGCATTATACTTTGAAATATCTTTTGCATGAAGTACTTGTAAGATTAAGTCTCCTAATCTTGATCTAATCCTTTCCTTCTCACCTTACATTCTACGCTCGATCATGTCATGACAGATGATGGTAGGATTAGTGTGGTTAAGCACAGACCGTATAGCAGTCAGTACGGTACCTTACATTAAGGCTAGGTATGGTGTACACACTAAGAAATGCATGCTATCCACTCCGAGTCTATCTTGTGTCATTGCTGTATTTGCCTAAGAATTGTTAGCATGTACTTAGTAGGTAGCAGTGGGTACTTCTGGAAGGTATTGGTATTTTTTCTTTTAAGTATTCTGATTTTAAGCTTATTCAACAAGATGTTACCATTATCATTGCTTCTTCAGGTGATGTGCATAAATTACATGTTTATTTTGACTTAATAATTAAAATATATGTACATAATGTTGGTTTTGTTTATCACGTTTTAAAGACTTAATGCATCGGGGTACTTCTGGCGGTGAAATGGGGTGAAACTATCCCCTAATCTTTTCCAAAGAGTGTACTGTGTTTGTTAACATGCTCATTGGTTATAAGTTCACATGGAATGGCTTAAACATCTTTTCTGAAAGACATTGCACTATATTATTCAGTACTTGCATTTCAAACCTTCCAGCTTAATAAAAAGGTGAGCAGAGATGAATTTAACCCTCGACCCCTTCGACCAAATTGTCAGAAAAGATCCCTAGTACACATAATGGCTATCACTAGTTTAGCCAAACTTGAGTCACATAAATTAATTATTTCATGGGACGTATGCAAAATATTACACAGAAGACTTGAACACAGAGATAATAGGGTGCATTTAATTTGTACGATGATGCGACGTTAGAATGGAATCACTCATGCGTGGCCGTCCTACACTCTCTGCATACATAGATTTGGCCAAATTGCATCCTAGAATCCATGCGACGAGGTGACCCTAACGTTCTCGCATGCGCAGATGAATTTTAGTGACATCATACGCTCTACGTCTTACCTTAGTCGTCCAGCCGAAAGCCCTATGTTGGTACTGAGATACTGGTGTTACTACCAATTTTAAATTTTAAATTTCATTTTTATTTATAAAGTGATGAGCTATGTATAGGTAAGATAATGCTCTTTGCATCACCTGAAGAAACCAAGGTAGTGGTAAATAGACTGAGGAATACCATCCTTCATTACTACTGTACTATTCCAATTGTTTTTATAATCTTTATTAGAAAAAATTATTTTAGCTGTGAATTTATATTTAGTGTTGAACCATGTTACAAAATGAACTGATTATGTAAACCAATATTTAAAAAAATCAAATGATGACCAAAGGTGTAAAACTTTCTCATATATCTCCAAACTGCTTACATTTTTTACACAGCCTAAATTTTTCTCCATTTAAAAATATATATTTCTATTTCAACATTAAACTTGTTCTTAAATTTTCATATTGTTTGTTAGTTTCTATATTTTTTTATTATGGCATTTTTATCTTTATTTTTGTTTTATCTGTTGTATTTGAGGATTATTTTTTTTTTTTTTTTTTTTAAATTTTACCTATAAGCTTTTAAATTTATTTTTTCAAATAAGTCATACTTTTTTTGTTTAAAAAAAAAAAATTGAAAATGCTTGGTTTTATGTTTTGAATATTATTTTTTGCAAAAAATGAAAGATTTTCTCTGTAAAACAAACAGAAATCGCTTTAAAAAGCAATGTATGTTCTGTTTGTTTTCTTGTTCATCATTGGTTGAAATACAAATGTTTTGTTTTATGTGTTAGATGTAAATGTACTTGCCTTATCAGGCCTGATTTGAAGGGGTGGGGGTGGGGGATTATTAGAATACCACATTTTAAAGGTATGATATTGCTTGTTTTGTTTGTCATGTGATCTACCCCTTGTCTTTATTCGCCAATAGTGCATGATGATACTATTAGTTATCATGTGTGTCCCTACATGGATGAAAAGGAAGTTTTCACACATTTAATATCATATTATATACAATAATGAAAAGCCAGTTCATGTCATCGTGCCTGTTACTGAAATTTTAAAAATAGGCGTATCAATACATACTATGACTATTTTCTTTTATTCAAGTATTGTATACAATAATAATATATTAGTGTAAACTTTACTGTAGTAGTGAAGCAGATTGCCCAGCGTTAATTATAACCAGTGTCAGTGGCGGATCCAGAAATTCATAATATAGGTGGCCAGGGAGGGACTTTCACAGGTAGAGGGTTCACCCAACTCAGGCTTACTATGGTTGGAGCTGAGGAAAGAGTTTTTATGATTGTGGCACTACTAGGTGGCGGGAAATGGCACTCACAGACTTCAAATACAATTTTTGTCTTTACTCAAATATTTTTTTATTTTTAAAAATATGGGGTGGGGGCAAGGCTGGCTGCACACCCTCCCCTTTCCCCCTGAATCCGCCACTGAGTGTAATAGTCATCAAATTGAAGATACCGTGATATTTGCCTTTCACTCCCATCTACTCCCAAAGAGACTTAATTCATAATATAACATTCCATCATGTAATTGGTGAGCGAATGATGTTCTATAAACAAAAAGTCTTTTTTGAGGCTTAGGTAGTAGAGTTGGTGAATATGAAGCCAAGCACCTTATCCACCAAGCTACAAATACATAATAACTTATTAATGTTTCTTTTTATTATAAAATATCAGCTTTAATTTTGTTTGAAAATAGCATTTTAACAATTCATACTTTGCAACTTCCTCATAATTTTTTCAGAGGTTCGACAACATTTGCTACAAGAAGATAATGAGGATGAAGAAGAGAATGACGAATTTGACACCAGGTATCCTGTGGCCACCTGACTAGAATAGATTGACAGACTTATGCCATTGTCGGTTATTGTAGCAGATAATATGCAGGTCTATTATTTGGGAGTGCATACCCCATAACTCACCGATTTTTATCAATGTAAAATGATTTTTAATAATATACTGCATAAAATTTGATAGTGTATGGGTTTGCGTTGGGATGTTTGTTTAAAAGTGATGAGATGCCTTAAAAAGTACACTCAGTTTATTATCAAATCCTGCGAATGAAAACATTGTCAATCAGAAAGACACTGACATACATCATATTTTGATAATTGTCATAAAAGTACAAACCTAATGTGGGTGGTGGGTGAGGTAGCAGTGTTGTATGCTTTTATGCATAGGATCTCAAAAATCTCATACTATGATCTCAAAATTAAAAGCACTATTTTCTTGTGTAGTCTTTCAGGAGAGAAACAGAAAAGCATTAACTTTGTATTGTCTTCAAAATTATGAAAATATAAAGGCTCTAAATGAATTTATGGGCCAATTTGAGTACTAATAGTTATTTCATATTAATGATTGCTGAATTTGTCATGAGTAGTGCAGATATAGCTCATGGTTAGGATGCTTGCCTTCCAATCCCAGGTCCTGGGTTCAGTTCCTGTGCAGCACAGACAACAGTCAGTTATATTCATATAGCAGCTAGACACATGGGTTTTTCGGTATCCCAGCATACTTGGTCAGCCCAAGATTATGATCACTGAAGTTAAGGAAAAGGTAGGAGAATAACTTGCATTGTCATTGTGGAGAGTTGCTTATGGGCATGGTCTGTAGCTTAATTTTCACATCATTGCACAGTGACAGGGGCTGAAATGAACCATTGTATTGGGGTAATCCCCCACTCATTTGAAAGATGCAGAGGGTCATGAGCCCGATGTATACACTGGACCTATGATTTTAAGTCCTTATCCAAGAAGACTTGATTCTACCAACTGAACCCTGGACGAGGAGCGGCTCAAATCTGTGCCGGTGTTAACTTGGAAACTGAAATCACAACACACAAGCAGTGGTGGCACTAGTGGAAATTCTTCAAACCCCGTTCTGACAGGTTTTCACCCTGAATATATCTCTTACAGCCACCACAGCTCCCAAGTTGTCATTGTATCTAATAATTACTGATTTGTTTTACATAGAGTTAATTGCAACATAGAGTTTAGATCGCAATAATTAGGTGTAACTGTTTAATGTTTAGTGTATACATATATTTTTAAAAGTAGGTTTGCTGCATAGCATAGTAAACACAATATAAAAAATTGTTTTTATTTTTGTATATTATAATATTATATGTACTATTGGTTTAGAGCAGAGCTGTATCTTGATGGTTAATATGCTTGCCTTGCAATCCTAGGGTCCTGGGTTCAAATCCACTCCCTAAGCCTCATAATGTGACATTGTATATGTAAAGCATCTTGTGTGTTTGTCTTGTGTTAGAAATTTCCACTTAGACAATATTCAGTTTGCTAATTTTGCAATCTTTGGCCTATTGTGCCTAAATAATTAAATATATGATATATATGTACTAAGCTCAGAGAAGAAAAATACTGATGAAATGACATTTTCTTAACCCACTAAAAACAGGTCTGGAGTTAAATTGATAGACTATACATTGTGTTTTTGGTATGGAAAATGCCAAAGGTCATGAGACCGGGAAAGGCGGAATACCAAATGCTTGTCCATTGGTGGCTCCAGAGGTTTGCCAACAAGGGGTCTAATTAATCCTTCATGAGGGTTTAAACCAAAATTAACATTCAAAAGAAATGGTGATAAGCAATCTGTCTTATGTGATTGAAAAAAAATCAATAAAACTTAGGGTCTCCATGGTTACATTGATATTCTTTAAAGTTTATGTGATGAAAAAGATTAAAGTTGTGGTTTCTATGGTTACAATGATGATTTATAAAGATCAAGATATAAAGAGATATAATTGGATATTTAATCTCAATATAAAAATGGATTGTGCTAATGACGTATTTGAACTCGGAGCTATAAATGGCATCATTTTGTGTTCAATGGTGAATAATATGAGAATCCACAGTAGTAATATTTGCCGTATAATATTTTTGTATACACAATTTGCATAGCAGAAAAAAACTATTGATCCTAAATTTTCTCACTATTGCCAGACGCATTAAGGGGAGACTTTTTTTTAAACCTTGAGGAGGGCGGGAAAAAAAAAATAAATTTAGTTTTTTGTTATTTAGCAAATTGTTTTTCCAAAAACATCCAGATGAGGGAGAAAATACAATTTTATTGGTGAATATAAACAGTGTAGTAATGGGATGGTTAAATGCTTTAAATGTATGTAATTAGGAAGAAATACACATCTTATTTTTGGGGATTTCAGCAGCGGGCGTAATAAAAAAAACTTTTTTTTTCTGAAATTTCCATTTTTTTGTGGCGGTGGGTGCATTAATTGGCCGAAAATAAAATTTATTTTATTTGAAATCATTATTATTGGCATTCGACGAGTTCACAAAATAAGGTATTAAAAAAGTCTTGTCTAAGGAATAAACAAACTCCAGTCTTACAAATAGAAAGTAATAGCTGATAATTGATATGTTTCAATCTGCGCCACACAGTACTCCTAAGTTATTTTTTCATTACCAGTGGCGGATCCAGGAATACAAAATAGAGGGGTCCAGGGGGGGGACTTCGACAGATGGAGGGGGTCTATACCACCTCAGCCTGACCACGTTTGGGGCTAGTAAGAAAATTTACGATTGTCGCCTCTAGATGGCTAGAAATGGCACTTGAAATTGAAATGACTTGAATGACTTGAAATTTGAATGTAATTTTCTTTTTTCTCCAATTTTTAAACATTTTGGCAAAATTTAGGGGGCCCTCCCCCCAACACCTTAAATCTGCCACTGATTACTCTACTATACATTGCTTTTTTTTTTTTTTCAGATCTCAGGATAATTTAATACATTTTAATACAAAAACAGGGATTAATGCAAGCATACCATTTTACGTTAAAATGTAAAGATAGTGATTTAACTACTTTGTGGATGCACAGTACTTATGAGATTATGTGCAATTAGAAAATATCTCAATAGTTTTAATGAAAATTCTATTATAATATTCAGTTTCAATAAACATAGTCCTATATGGTCTGTTCATAAAACATAGTAAAAAATACCTCAATAATTCATTCAAAACGTTAAGGAGCCAACCAATTAACGTTCGTGTACGAAACTATGCCTACTCAGCCTGTCTCTTATACACATCTAGATGTGTATAAGAGACAGCCCTATGCCTGTTGCCTAAGCAATTTTATCTGAAGATAGCTTAAATTGTAAACTACCATTCCTATAAACTGATATATTAAAGATTTTATCAATGATTGTAAAGTATATAAGTTATAGGCCTACTGTATTTTCATGATGCATTTTAATTTTTAAGGTACTTATTTTTGAGTTGATATTTAATAATGGTAACACTAACATGTGGTTCATAACCAAAGTTGCTCAAGATGCAGTATATTATTATTTTTTTGAAAACCAGAAATGTTTTTGGCAGTATCTTCTACATGTATCGAGGTTTCACACTTACGGAACAGAATGTAATGCATGTAATTAGTCATGTTGCCTGGCATTGTTTGCTGGTGGATGTAATGTACGAGCCGTACAGTAATAATATTCCTGTATGTTCAAGTGTGGTATGTATTTGATAAGTTATATATTATGCATAGATGGTTTGTCAGTGGCGATGCCATCAGAAGTTTACTAACTGGTCAAGCCCCCCTACCCCCATCAAAAATTAGTCACAACAAAATTGAATATATATAATGTTCTAAAATATCTGTCTCAGAACAGTTTAAATTGAAAGAAAATTGACAAGTTTTGACAAACTGCCTCCACAGGATTTTTCCTCTCCTTGTCGGGACAGTTTCCCCTCCTATGCATGTTCTAGAACCACCTCTGGTTAATAATTGTGATTTTGACCAATGCTTGAAAATCGCAAATGATTTACTATGTTTATTGTAAAAAATAATAATACAACTATATTAAAATCAAGCACAATTATTGACAGACTCTCTTGATATTTGCCTTTTTTTTTTGTCCCACCAAATTTTTTTTCGATACAATAGTAGCACAAATGTCAGGAATATAAAATGTATATATAATTGAGAATTTATTTCATGTATTCCTTTGTATTGTATACCAATAGATAAAATCTTCCAATAAAGTCAATATGATTCAAAGAAAAATGCTGTTTGGTTGTGCAAGTTTATTTCATTGTTGCTATGTATTAGGTATGGCAGGCATCAGCCATTCAAAAAATGTGGAAGATTTAATATGAAAGGTTTTCAGAATTGCAGAATAAAAAATCAAAGGGAGATCAATTTTGTTATGAACTTTTATTACACAACAAACTCCAACAAACTCTGTAAATATTGCACAGTCCTCATATTGCGAATGCTGAATAAAAAAATGATGAGAGAATAATGAACATAAGAAATAATATACATTGTTAGCTTCTAGACAAATGCACTGTTTCGACAGTGATCAGCTGCTGCAATCACAATGTAATGAGGCGCATGCAATGGATCATTTTAATGATAATCCGCTGACAGCATTGCACCATCAAGCAATCATGTATTTTTTTTGTTGTATAATCTAAAACTATACATACTGCACATCTTGCTGAAAAAAACATTTTAGAAAATAATAAAAGTGTTTCTAGACAAAATATGCTTACAATAAACAACTGTCAACATATCACAAATAACACACAAGTGTTTTTATTAATGTATTTGAAATATCAGTTTAAAATTACAGAAATAAAAGGACTAATATCAATTTTACTAAATCTTTTCTCGCTTAATAAACTTCAACAGATTGCATAAATATTGCACAATTTTAACACAGTGAACATTAGCTTTGTCGTGTTTCATTAAATAAAATATGAAAAATGATTCAGGAAGAAACTGTGTCCCACTTCCAGACATAAATATTGACTGGAGGCTTATCTAATGCATACAATAACAATACCAGCATTAACATATATATTTCAAAATATAGTATAAATTACATTTGGTAATCATACAATAACTTGGCTGCCAACTTATTCTATGTTACTTGTTCACATTTCTAGTACGAAGGGAATATCTTACAGAATTGTTCTCATTTTCCATGGATTGACATTTCGGACACCTGTTCTCTTTATTGTCTTCGCTGACAAGTTGAGAATCGTGATAACCTGCACCACAGTCTTCTATATCTGTGTTATTACTTGGTTGAACATGACATATATATTGCTTTAGTTGGGACTGAATTGAATCATTAAGACTGGATTCTGTTAGTATTTCTGTATGGTTCTCAGTAGGCTCTTGTAAGCTGACCAGGTCTGGACATAGTGTTTGCACTACAATTTGCTGGGGCTTGCTTTTCTCAACACTTTGTACATCGGTAGGGCTTAGGCATTTACAGGTGGTGCAGTGGCCACCTGTTGTCTGTGTGCTGCAGTCAATTCTATTGGCTGGCACCTCTTCCGCACTGTAAAACTGGGGACTATTGTCACATGACCCATGTTGGAGATTTCCTTCAACGCTGCCCTCTTTATTCTCATTTAGCTGATCACTGATGGGATCATCAGTTGAATTAGCAGTTTGATTCATTTTCAAAACAGGGGTGTTCAGTTCCTCTAATGCTTTGTTTAGATCATTATCTGCACTAACATTTGTAGATGATCCCTAGAAGTGAAATTAAATTAATGACCATTTAATAATTAAACTAGTGAAAATATCTAGCACAACATTTTTAAGTGGCAAATCCGAATTTCACAAGATAGTTGAAAGTAGAACCTCGATTTTACGTACGGTATGGGACCGGAGGGCATATGTAAATCAGGGGATTCGTAAAATAGAGGTTGGGTTAAATTTGTGGTAACCTTTGACCTAATATGTACGTAACGCTCAATATACGTATGTATGAACGAACGATGTTACCTAGCTAGGCTAGACCTAGCCTCTAGGCCTACGAATAAAACCATGTGTTTAGTGTTTTTATTCATCACTTTACGATGTCATAATAAAGTGTTAAATAAAACCATGTGTCTAGTGTATTAATTCATCACTTTATGTCTTTTATTTAACAAAAGAACATGAAAATATTGTAAGATTACCTATACGACAAAGGTATAACTTGGGAATTCCCCTTCATGCCTATTCTAAACAACAGAGCTGTGGTGTTGTCTGGGCCTGTTAAGACAAAATTAAGCCCATGTGCACTGGGCGAGCAAACCAATTAGCGTTTGTGTACGTGAAACAGCAAAACCATGTGTACTGCACTGGGCGAGCCAACCAATTAGCGTTCGTGTACGAAACTATGCCTACTCAGCTTCGTGTAGAAAATTAGACCAGACAAGTTTTTCCATGGTTTGCCACACGAAGCTAGGAGGAAAGCAATTATTTTGAGCACCATCGGTAGTTGTTCATCTCACGCAGTTCACTTGGTTTTAGATTATAACAACCCGGTATTAGACTCAATCAACGTTGCTGTTTAATGATAATACGTTGCATCATGGTTTGTTTATGTTATAGTTTTTTTACTTATGGTTGCTCTGAAAAGGGCCGTTTTTTTTGAATATTTTATTATTATTTTATATTAAAACTGAGGGTTCGTATAACTGGGGTACATAAAAACGAGGTTCTACTGTATATTTATTACGTAGGATGATCACCAGTACTCTTTTGCATAGATTGTCTTTTTTTTGTTTTCTCTCATTTTTATTTCTACCTTAAATTTATAGACGACAGTGTACCCTCCAATTCGAGACCCATTTAATTCAAGAACACTTTTTTTTAAGAAACAAATAAGTCTTCAATCTATTAATACTAAGCTAACCCTCTGGTGACGGAACCCTGAGAGCACCCCAAATTTTCAGATCCCAAGGGTTGTCTCAAATTGAAGGACGAACTGTATTTGAGACACTCCAAGTTCATGCTAATGTCATGAATGCGTATTAAACAAATGGAAGCAGGGGTGGCATCCCCCACCCCACCTCCCCCCATTGGGGAGAAAAAGCACAATTTGTCGGGGGAAAAAGTTATATGTATTTTCTACATATTAGTAGACACTAAAATTGATTAAATAAGCCTTTGAAACCCCTAAATTATTAAAATTTGGACTACTTTTGAAACCTTTTAATCAAAGCTCGACCACGCCCACATTGCTGATGAGCAACACTTCATACCTGAGATGATAGGTTGCCTTTGATTGTGAAACACTCTTTGTAGTAGTCATTGACATAGGAAGACTGGGTACTGGATAATGCTGAGAAATCTCTATCTGAAAAGACATAAATTACATTTCAATTGCACCTGTGTTCTGATCTATTTTAAAGCAATCAGTGGTTATAATTATATATCATTAATACAGTAAAATAACTCCACTGCAAAAATGTTCAAAATGTGTGAAGTTCTAAATAAAAATACATTCGATTGTTTTCTTTCCCAAATTCAAAAGCTATACTACCGTATAGTGACTATACTTCCTTGGCTTTTCATTTGAGATATCATGTGCAATATGTTTTAGTATGCACAATAATGGTGTAAAGCTTGCTCTAATGGAAGAACTCTTGTACAAGCGCAAGCCAATTTTTGAAGATAATCAGCTACATGGGCATTTCCATCTGTTATAATTAGGATTTGTATAACTGTATGATAAATCTTCATTATAACGGCTATTATTATATTTACCTAATGCAGTGTCATCAATCTGCTGGGTTGTGATCCCATCCATTAGTTCATCATCAAGAGATAACAGCTGAAATAAATGATTTATGTCATTACTTTGAACCACATGGGTTACAAGCTGATTTGACCAATCACATAAAAGGAAATTAACATCTGAATGTTCAAAAGCCAATCACAGATATCTAGATAGCCTTGACCAACTAGAAGGAAGTAACCTTTGATTTTTTTTTTACCTCTCTGACCACTTCATTTGTTATTGTGTTCATTTTCAGTCTAGTAGTCTCTTTCTGTACATCGTCATGGCTGTGAAAGATATAGATATTCAATATTATTCATCAAACATTATTGATATTAGTTTCATCTCCTTAGAGAATATCACCATCTATCAATGCATACACTATGTAGCACTTATGTATCTTACCCACACTTGTAATTATTGAAATAAGAAACCCAATATATCCATTAGTGCTTTATGTCCAAAGCTTTCACCAAAATACGAACATAACATTTAACCTTTAACTGTTAGATAGTAATTTTAGATGCTAGATGGAAATGGTACACCTTAGAGAGATGTGCAATATGAGACTACAGTATTAAAAACAGATGCACAAACACTTATGCCTATCATATATAATAATCATTTTACCATTATCATTTAGTACTCAAACAAAGAAAAACCACATTGATCCAAGTCAAAATAAAAATTAATGTTGCCAAAGCCGAACCGACCCAAACTCTTAAGTTTTGTCCACACTATCAAGTTTGTGCACCCATATAAGGGCATGATGATGTCATATTCTATCCAAATATAGGCATATCACAATTTTGAGTATGGACAGAGCTTAGACCACAAATAGTTTTGAAGTTAGAAATAAAAGTAATTTGAAGAAGGGAAAAGAAAGAAATAGGGAAAAAAGTACATAGAGGTAAAACAAAAAGGACAAGGTACAGTAACAAAAATAATAAGAAACAAGTATAGAATCTATAATAAAATAAAGGAAAGAGAAAAATTGATAATTGATAAATTAAATTGAAGATTTTGTTAGTGAATTTATAATTGGAATTTTAACAAACATACTGTATACTGTAATACTTTTTGGGTAGGTAATTTGTGCAATTTTGCCTCACTGTTTTGCTTTTCCAACAAATCAATATATTAAATTAGTAGTCACTGCACCTTGGGATAGCACACTAGATAGATCGCGCATTACAAATGCTGTATTTTATTAGTATATTTATTTTCTTTACCTTTGGCTTGACATATTCTGTCCATCTGTATCAAATATAAAGCTTCTCCATCCCAAATTACTATCAATTTCTGCTGTACTACCAAAATTGTTGAAACTGCCTTCCTTATACTGCTCCTGCTTGCGTGTGTCTACCGTCCTCTGACTAATTTGCAACTCTACGCCTTTCCATTGGCATGTACCTGGAGAGGTTGGCCTATCATGCTTTAGTGATGGGCCAGGCATTTGAAAATGTTCTTCTGAGGGTACTACTTGTCTATCCCTGTTTGCCTGATTTAAGACCATACTTAAATGAGACTCATAATTCATGTTACTCTCCTGGGCAAAACCACAGTGAGTTTTATTCTTTGATGAAAGATCAACACTGCCCTCTCTTGTCTGGAAAACACTACCATTTTCTTGTTTCAGAAATATGTTTGTTGGTTTATGTTCGATCCATGTCACTTGCGGCCAACATTGATTATCATTTTCAAAATCATTGGGAAATTTATGCTCTCGAAAATTGAATGGTTCAAGTTGTGGATTGGGAGTTAAATTATCTTGAGATGCCAAACTTGGAAGACGTGTTGATTTTGTAGGATCGGTATCAACGAGGCTGGAGAAACCCCTCAAAGATGAGGTAGATGATGGCACTGCATTTGAATAGGATGACCTGCCTATAGTATTGCACTTATTAACTTTGGGAATGATCACTCCTTTGAGAAATCTTGACACTTCTTGTTCTCGAGGTAATGGAGTTGAATTCTTAAAAACCTACAAAATATTGAGAGCACATATGAATAGATCAAATGGTCAGATCCATATTTGATTGATGTACATTATGTATATTGAATTACAAATACAGATTACCTTTGATAAGAATGTGAATAGAACATACAAATGGAAGGTATGTAAAATAATAATGCCAAGGATTAAACCTAGTGTGTATGTTACAATGCAGTGATGTCAGAACAGTGGAGATATACACTTTATTTTATATAAACTACAAAGTATTTTTGCTTAATTTATATATTTTTTACATTGTTTTTTGCTTGAATTACAAGACAGAATTTATAGTACATCAGTGACGGATACAAGAGGGCCCACTCAGCCCGGGTCTCCCCTAAATTTTTGTAGCATTTAGTGAATTCTAAGATGAAGAGTGTACATGGCCTGAATGCACTAATATCAACTTTAAAAAAAAAAGAATGGCATCGTAGTACCCACCTCACGTTGAAACAATATTTCAGGGCTGGATAAATGTGATGAGGAGAGATTTGGTCCTGGCCACGGGGAGGGAACAGAGTGGTCTTCTTTCCTGCACAATTGTCAAAAACAGATAACAACACATTAATGATAATAATATAAACCCTTGGTATAACACTCTATAAGCAAAATTTTTAAAATTACAAAATAACAAGCAAATATTATGTCAAAACGACCTCTATCATTAAACAAGCAGAGACGCTTCTTCAGATGGTAAGGTAATGGCTGTATATACTACACTATAGTACCTCCTTCACTAAAAATATTAATCTGGTTGCTATCTGCATAGTCTGGCTTCCAGGCTAAAAAATTTGGATTACTCATTTTTTATTGCACCTAATGCGTGCCATACCAAATTTGATTGGCATCCCATACTCGATTTCTTTCTTATTCTGTCTCTAAATTAACTTACTCCTTGGTGGCGCTGTCCAGAATAAGAAAAAAATAATAAGGGACTTATGGTATGTCTACCATCTGTAAAGCAATAATTTATGGGCTTGTGAAGTTGTTCACCATTCTAGTGTGTAGCATAAAAGCACTGGCTGCTACACATTACAATACTGTAATAGGAAAAAAGCACATGGTAGCACATAAACTGACCTATGGGTTGTTGACCTTGCTTCACCTACATAACTTCTTGTGTTTCTATTTTCCATTTGTGTACTCTCATCAAACAGACTTCTTATCAAACCATTAGATGTATTCGGTTGCGAATAGGAAGAATATTTCTGTGGTTGTAAATATTTTGTTCAATAAATTTAATTTGAAATCAATTACTTGTATAAAGAATACATTAAAAAATTTACTTGAACTCTAAAATAATACCAATAATAGTGATAATGTTAACATAATAATAATAATACTGATACCAATCATTCTAATTATGAAAAATATATATAGTTAGCAATAACAATAACTTGCATATAAGTGCATTATTTTCAATCCAACAACAACAAAAGCAGCAGCAACAACAGCAGCAGTGGTATATCTAGAAGTCTTAAAATGGGGGGAGGGCTGATAGGGGCGCGAAGGTGAAGTGGGGGGTCTCGATGATCAGTTGAGGGGCGCTAGTTCATAAAATAAGGTGATTTTTAAACTAAAATTTTTTTGAGGGGCGTGCACTCCCACACCCCCTAGATAAGCCACTGAACAGCAGCTGCAACACTGACAACTGAAATATTAAGGCATACATCTTACCATTAAATTTTGAGAGTCGTCTGTCTGTTGTGCATCCTTGTAAACAGAATGTCTAGCCTGGAGTTGAGATATCTGGGAGAAATTATTTGTTGATGTGTTTTCGGAAAGAATGTCACTACAGATATGGTCAGATTTAGTAGCTCTAAAGAAGAAAACAACTATTCAACGTTTTGGCTATATACATAATATAATAAACCTTCTGCAAAGGAAACTATCTTAAAAGTAAAACAACCAAAGCAGTACAAACTTAATAGCAACCACAGCTTAAGCAACAACAATAAATTAAGAAATATAATAATAAAGAATACTTTATATATTTTATTAGAACTTTATATAGTAATTATATTATTAATATTATATATTAGAAATTTTAAAAGCTACACACAACTCATAACAGACCATGTTTCAAAATACCTTAAACCTACCTTGGTACATGACAATCTTGCAATTCCAGCTTAGATGGTGTCTCAATCGGTGACATTGGTAGTTCCAAATTTCTTTCTCTCCTGCGATAGTTAACAAATGGGTCGTAAATTCTTTCTAAATCAACATGCTTAACTCTCTTGGAGTTCTTTTGCAGTGATTTACCTGGAGAAAGAAAAGATATAATTAGTAAGTAGTTACTTACTTATTTAAGGCCTTTGCTCCTTTAGCAGCATAGCCATCGACGACCTCTTTCAATCAGTGTTGCTTTCCCTGCTTCATACATGGTTTGAATGTTACATGCTCCTACTCTAATAGTGTGCCTTGGTGTTAGAAGATGTTTCAATGAAGCAGCTTCCCATTGTTCCTGTGGGCTTTCACTGAACTATGTCATAATCTTCCCACTAGGTGTGAGATAATTAACTAGTGACATGTCTCAATGAGATCATGTGCACTACAGAGCAGTAATAATAATTAAGGTCTTGTATCATGAAAAAGCTATGTAAACATAGACATTTTATTAAGTTGTAAACTAAAAATAACATTAAGTGTATGCAAGGCACCTTGGCTTGTCTTGTGGAGGTGATTGACCGTTTGTATTGAGAGTAAATCCTGACTTATGGCAACTCGGTTCTTGCTTGGTGAAGCATCACATACACGATTCAACTGGTTCATAAACTTTTTCTTTTCAAAATATTCCTAATAAAAGGAAAATATGTTTTATAATATTAATAAATTATTAGAAAATGATGAAAAAAAATGACAAAAATCATAATCCTTGAAGAATTCAATTGTTCAATATGCCTTTAAAGGAGTAAATCTTTGGTCGTTGTTGTTACATATTTACAGTACAAAGAAGGTTTACAAAATCGATTTATACCCCTGGTGCTCAAACATTTTCAATGTGATCCATTTTCAGAACCCCCATTTTGAGGTGACCATGAGAATTGCGATATATAGAACTCTGTATTTAGAGGGTTTACTTATATGTGTTGTGACCCATAATTTGAAAAACAATGTTTAGAATAGAGCCTACAAAACTGTGTTGTCTTTGATTTATTTAGGAATTGAGAACCATCGATATTCAATCTCTGCTTCCTTTCAAATTGGCCAGCTCTACCTTTTGAATTCTCTTTTCTTCTTTTGCTCGGACACGTTTCCTGATTTTTGAGAAAAAAAATATCATTAATTAATACAAAAAATGTGAAATGCAATTCATTTGATTTATTGTTGTAATATTACTGTATACAGATTTGAAATTGAAATTGTACATTTATTCAGAAATTTCACAACAAATTACATTACAAATTGTTAACATAGGCATCAAAAGAAGCGGTGGCTTGTCAGTTTGCGGGACCTCCCGGATAGGGTTGTGACATAGGCCTAGCCTCGGGTCAACTAGTAAGTAACAGTGAATATACTAGTACAAAAGGCTAGATTACACTAGATATTTTACTTTTTTTGCGTATTTTACCTCTATGACATAAATTGTTTTAGCCATTTTGTCTATTTTAAAGTTTTATTTATTTGAATGTTTACTGCTTTTATACTGATTGAATTTAACATTGTTCCATCAAGATTCAGCCATCATGCAGTTTCTGTAAGTATATGCCAAAAAACTTTAATTGTATTTATATTTGTAATTTTTTATATAAAATATGTATAGGCCTAGATAGAGAAAACAAGTATAGTTTTTCTAGTCTGTTGTTAATTATTGGACAACTCAAACTTTTATTGCCGTTTTGACTTACTGCTGTTTTGGTCCATTGCCTTTCTGGTAAAAAAGCGTTGGCGTTTTTAGTTTATTGCCATTTTGATCATTGCCGTTTTGGTTTATTGCCGTTTTTACTATACTACTACTACTCCTGTAGTACTAGCCTTCCCCTTTTTTAGGCCTAGGCCTAGTTAGATTAGAAAGCCCTAAAATCCTAGTGTTTTTGTAATTACATATTGGTTTAGGCTAAAGTACTAACCAATCTGCTAACTTGAGAACATATAGGAAATGACCTAGGCCTAGGTTTAAGCAATCCGGTGACAATTAGGCTAGGCCTTGGGGCAGGATAATGGGTTGGCCCGATAACGGACTCGTGGTGGGCCGTTGTTGGCTTTCGTTTTCGTTCGCCTACTACTAGGCCCAGCTAGCCTAGTAGCCTAGGTCTAGCTTGTTAGGAATATCTATTTCAATTTACTCAGTTGTTTATGTAATGATGACAGCCAACGGATAATGTTGATATTTTATTTGAAAAATACAATACCTTACTCCACCAACCCAATTCATTTCGATACATTTAGCCTTAATTCTGTACCACAATACTTCTTTCTGAGAAGCCGTAAGTACGCGCTGCAATTTAATTTTGGTTTTGATTTCTGATGAAATGAGTCTGACTGTGTGTTTTGCGTCAACTAATCGCAATTCGCGTCAACTTATGCTATAGGTTAAATCTTGGTTAAATATACGAGCGTGTACACACGTGCTACGGTATGTGATGAAAATTTCCAACAAATACATGTATAAAATAAATAAATTAAAAAAGTCCGAGTAAAATTGGAGCTGTTACTTAGCTAGGTAAGTAACTTAATTGATAAATAATCAGGGGTTGATATAGCCCACTGTCTACCGTACCTAATCCTACCTATCTATAGGCAGCCTAAATAGTACCAGCTAGCTAGGGCCTAGCCAGGGCCTAGGTAGGGCATTAGACCTGGCCTAGGAGGCCTACTGCTGGCTAGGCTAGGCTTACGTGCCATTCACACAGTGTAGGCCTACTTTTTCTAGCCTGCCACGCAGTGGTAGCCAATTTTACGTTAGGTCCTAGACCAGGCCCAGATATAAAAAAAAATATTACAAAGTGATGAGGGCGGGGGGTTTTTTTTTTTTTTTTTTTTTTTTTTTTAAATAAAATATTGCTTTTTTTAATCGATAAGAGAGGGACTGCCAGACTGTATATTTAGGCCTGCGTGAGGGAATAGGCCTATATTCTCCATGCAAAAATTTGACCTAGAAATCCATCACTGCTTCAGAAAATAAAAGGGCCGATTTCCACACAGATTTTGCTGAAATTTTTTAATATATTCTCAACTACAACAGTTCTTTTTAGAACTACCTACGTGGTGTACTGCAAGCTTCAACATATAAATCTTAATATATATATAAATAACCAATGCAAAAAAGCAGCAATTACGATTCCACAACCTATTTTTTTAATGATGTTCCGGGCAAATTTGAGCTGATTTTATAGATATTCTCCGCACAATTAAAAAACTTTACAGTATGGAGCAACTGTTTTATTTGGCAAGAATAGTGTATATATTGTATAAAAACTGGTTTAATGTATTGTTTTATAAAGAAAATGTATTTCCAGTGACAAAATTAGATTTTATGCTGTTGAAATAAATAATGTGGCAAAAAAAATTAGATTTTATGCTGTTGAAATAAATAATGTGGCAAAAAAAAAAAGTATATTCCTGCATCAATATTTCCCAAATTTTTTACGTGGATGGGAGTGATAATCTAGCAAATTCTTCTATCTGCCCAGAGAGAGTGCCGAAACCAAAGTTGCAGAGCATATAGATATAGCATAGCCAGACTGAATTTGTTTTCTGAAATTTTTGAATACTTTCTTTAAACACGAAATAACAACCCATTTCTATTACTTAATTGAATCAAAAGAATTACAGCAAGAATGTCTAGGCATACACCTAAAAAAAGGAAGAAGCATGATTCTACATCGTCAAGTTCAGACGGAGAGTCAACAAATTTTAACCCTGTAGAAGAGGAAATTCCATCCACAACTGATAAGTAAGTACTGTGCACCGTCCAATTTGAGACCCCTCTAATTTCTAGACCCCTCTAATTTGAGACCACTTTTTTAAATACCAAATTAATAACAATCGTCAGTCTTTTAACACAAATCTAATTCTCTAATTGAAGACCAAACCTAAAGACCCAAAATGTTCAGTTCCCAAAGGTGGTTTGTATGATTGAATTACCAAATATTTGGTGAATGTTGGAGACATATATTGTTTACATTTCTTTCATACGTGAGGCTCTGGATTTATGTATTAACAACTCTGCTCCATTGATTTTATTGTATTATTATTGTTGTTGTTTGTAGGTTCGTCTGTCCAGACAAATTCCAAAAAATTAAGCCAACATACGACACACTCTGCCTAGAAGACGTCAAAGGAAATACCAACAAAGAATTGTGGTTAATAAGAGCCCCATTAAATGTAAGTTAAGTAAAATACAATTAAGTTAAGTAATACAATTTTGCAAGTATGTTAAATTTTTGCTTATGTTGTTTTTCCACCTATAGTAATATAATCCTTGATTATATACCTGTAACTAGATTTAAATTTATAAAGGGTAAATGATAAACAGGCCTACATACACATAAAATATTATATTTTTGGTCATAAATATGTTTAAATTTCAGTTTGACTGTAGCTTGTTGGATGGACAAAAATGTATTCCAAATGCACAGTACAAGTTGGGTGATGATACTCAATTTGAAGCTATTGTGAAAGAAACAAAACAGGTAAAAGTAAAAAATAAAATTTTATTTTGGAATGTATCATAAATTTTGATGCTATAATTTCATATAGAAATTGCACCATATATTTTACTCCAGTTATAAAATTACAGAAGAAATGGATGGTAATGAGAATGATGATGATTGAGAAAGATAATGGTGATAAATATGATGATGAGATGATGATGATGAGGTGTTGGGAGAAGCAGTGATGACAATAACGACGACAGCAACTTTATAATCATTTCAATACCTGATAATCTTCATAAATATAAGTATAATTTTATTTTTGTGATGCAATGATCAGGTTGGAAATATTACAGCAGTTTTACCATCCAAGAAAAAGAAGAAATTATTACCAGGTAAGAAATACTGTAGTACCCCATTAGGGGACACCTTGAGGACCAAAAAGTTTCCCCTTAATAGTGGTGTCCCCTGAATAGGGGTTGGCCATAGTGTTAAAAGATATGCTTTCCTTCTTTTTGTGGCTGAAAATTTGTTTTTGCTTAATAGGGGTGTTTCCTTAATTGGGGCGTCCCAAATGAGGAGTTCTACTGTATATAACATCAAATTTAATATCTATACTTTTGGTTTTTTTTTTATGAATAAAGATAACTTGATATATATTTATATTGAAAGATAATTCTTAGAATGATTTCTAATAGGTCCTGCTTTCAAGGGCCTTATTTCAGTCGTTAGCAGAGTGGAGGTTGCACCTGTAGACATCCCAATGAGTCCACCAAAGATGAGTTTTGACATTCCCACTGGCCTCCAGCAGCGCTACACACCGTTTGGATGTGGTGAGATAAACTAATGAAATATTACTTTACATTTAACTGTATCTATATTAATGATTATTCATTTCTGTTGGCTTTGTTTTTGTACAGTTCCAATCCCAGTCTTTTAAAACTGAAATTCTGCAGAAATTTTTTTGACACAAATAAACATCTCCAAAGATTATCAGATACCTTAGATCTGTCCACACTGTCAATTTTGTTTTTGTGACACATTGTTGTGACTTTGGGAGATATGACGTCATCATGCCCACGTATGCGCAATGCACAGAACATCTGATAGTCTGGACAAACCATTAGTTTGTATCACATAGTTACATCCAGAATAATTACCACTAAACACTGAAGTACCATCTTTCAGTAGCATAACTAGGATGGGGGTGCATGCTTCCCCACAAAAAGTTCCACCCACAAGGCACCCCCATTACCTTTTCTCTTCTGTGGCTAGTGCCTCACTTCCTGTTTCCCATAGCGTGAAATTTACCTACCAATAGATACAGTAATATAATACTGTAAATTTAATTCCGAGTTTCCTTGGGACCCGTCGCACCACTTGTTGAAAAAAATGTTGATCTGATTGAGGGTGTAGTTTACGTTCATTATTTTTTAAACTCATACATGATTTATGGGTTTTGTTTTATTTCTTCTGAAATGTTTATGCTTTATTAAAAATATAGCATAATATTTGAATAATCATAATGTATCAAACTGCATTGTGATACTGTTAATTATTAGCGAACGTATTGTTTAGGTAATAGGTTTTTAGAGACACCAGTTGCATATCGTAATACTAGCCTCGTGATGTCACTGTTACAGGCAAAGAATCGACAAGTGACAGGCAGCTAAAAACTGGTAATAAAAGTTGGTGTTTTTTTTTTTGTAAAATCCCACTTTTTGTACAACGCAACATCAAGATATGATCTTTCCCGTATATGAAGGACCTACGGTTTGAGTTTCGTTGAGGTAGGAGCTTATACCATGGTGAAGATGATTTTTGACTGGACTATATCTTTTTTATTATCATATCTAGGATCTCCATTAAAGAAAAGAAAGAGAAAACGTAAAAGGAGAAATGAAAAGGAAGAAGATGAACGATTTAAAGATTCAGTCATTAGAGTAAAAGAAGAAAAAGAAGATATTTTAGGTAAATACTACTGTATATGTTAACAATATATTATTATAAAATTGTTTTGCACAAGCCAGTTATGTACACTGGGCCTACCATTCAGAGTCGTTGTCTGAGAGTCTGAAACTCAGAGTAAGGAGTAGTGTTAGAGAGGTAGAGAGAAACTGGCATGATATTATGGCCTCAGGTTCCCACCCCTGCCATACCACTCCAATTTTTCAATTCAATTGAACCGATACTACCCGGTGTGGTCTCCAGTCCAAGTATTGATCGGGCCCAACATTGCTTTGGTGAAGCTGAATGGCTGAGTGGTAAAGCAGGGGGGGGGGGGCGCCACTAACTACAGCCTTAGTTGCTATGGTTCATTTCAGCCCCTGTTGTTGTGTAACATGTATCTACAATAAGCACCTCTTTACAGTGGCTAGGTAGTCACAGCCCACGCCCATATGCAATTCAGCACATTAACCCTGCAAGTTATGAGTTTTTCTCCTACCTTTACCTTTACCCTTTAACTTTGGTGATATTACGAGAACAGGTGTTTCAATGTTATTGATGAAAATTATGTCATTAAAATTTGTTTCATGTACTTATTTATACTCATGTTGCTTTTTGAAAATAGATACATCATCGAGTAAAAAGAAAAAAAGGAAGAAAGATAAGAGGAATACAAAACCAGAGGAAGTAGAGATGAATATAAGAGAAGAAACAGAAAGTGAAGAAAATGGAGTAATCATTCCACCTACAGAAATTAAAAAAGAAAATTATATTGATGAAGTAGACTTTATTATAAGTAACATTAAACAGGAACCTGAGGAAATGGATGGAGATGAATTAAATTTGATACGGAAAAGCACAAAGAAGAAAAAGAAAAAGAAGCATAAAGATGATTGATTACAGGAAGTTTCAGGAACAAAACATATATTACTTAAATTTGCTATTGTAAAATTAATACAGAAATATCGCATCTTCATTATTTTTGCATACAAAAATTCTGCTGCACACATTGACAACAAATTTACAAATTGAGGATGCACTTCATATGATCTGTTTTATGTCAGATTTTAAGTTCTAGCTGTAAAAACTTATAAAATTCCATGGATACAATAATTTATCTCTGCTACAGTGTGTATGTATTCACTATTGCAGGATTATGCAAAAGTAACAAATAGATTATTATATAATTTAGAACAGTAGTACATACTGATACCGTATGTTACAACTAAAAGGTCAAGATCACAGAAAGTTAAAAATTACATTCAAGTGGTGTAAAAGAGTTGAGCACTCTTTTTATTAATTCACGATATATTTACTTGGCTGGATTTAAATTTAAATATGATATTCATTTATTTTAAAGAATTAAAAGTATAACTATAACTATAATTAATTAAAATGTAGAGATATACCCTGGCAGATTGAATGGGAATCAGCTGATGAACTGTTTTCATATGAAGCAATCATTATAGAAGAAATAACACAAATAAAAAAGGATAATATTACTACTGTAGTGATTATCTCATATTTTATGTGTGTATTTTTTAGGGAATTTTGTTCATCATTATTGTGTGTTGGATGTATTGTTGCGAATAATTTGTTTTCATTCAATTCATATTCCAGACAACAATTTTTATAAGAAATTTAATACACAAGTGGAACTAAGTTATAAATTGATAATTTATTGTCCGAGTAATATGTGATACATGGAAAATGGTTAATAATAATATATTATTATTATATTATTTAATACACAGGCAAAATATACAATACAAAAATACAGGAGAAAAGACAAAACAATAGTGCAGAAGACAAAAGCAAAAGTACATTCATATAATTTGTTTTCATTCAATTCATATTTGAGACAACAAGACAACAATTTGTATAAGAAATTATAATACACAAGTGAAACTAACTTATAAATTGATAATTTATTGTCCGAGAAATATGTGATACATGGAAGATGGATAATAATAATATATTATTATTTAATACACAGGCAAAATATACAATACAAAAATACAGGAGAAAAGACAAAACAATAGTGCAGAAGACAAAAGCAAAAGTACATTCAATTTAACAACTATAGTAAGTTCATACTTTGAGTCAATGCAAATCTCTACATCTGAGGTGGCATCTCAGACGGTGTACACAGTGGCGTATCTAGGGGGTGTGAGGGGGTGCAATCTCCTCCAAAAATTATTTGCGTCCCCCTCCCCCCAGTCTCGCTCAAAAAATCACTTTCAAGTACAGTAGTTAAAAATCAGCTTATTTTGCAAGATAGCACCCCTCAACTGATCATCAAATCCCCTTCCCCCCCACCTCACTTCACC